GCTGCACATGCGAAGATAGTGCTGGCACAATTCATGTACTCCTGTCCCGTTCATGACCACTTTCCCTTACATCGATATAGTTTAAGCAACTTGTGAGTCTATGAACAATATGGGGCATCACGTTCTTAATGCGCTCATTTTCCTCGACCTTCGGTTGGTTTTTTTTTTTCATGTAGAGACATTTCAGGTACTCAGCTCACCTCCATTCCAGCCAACGCCAATTCTCTTATGGGCAGACAGCACCTTTATGAAGTGTAAGCATCAGACCTACCTGTAATTGATGTGCATGTCTCCGGAAGCAACGGCTCATTACATTCTCTGCCAATGTCAGCAATATTTATTCCAACAACCAGCTGACGCGAATTGACTCGGGTGCTTTCAACGGCATGGTTAGCACGTCTATGTTGTAAGAAAAAAATCAGATTGGTTTTTAGGCTTAGCGACAAAGGCTGATCGCGCTTGGCTGTCACAGTAACTTGATGAGCAACGCATTGACAACCTTGCCCCCGGGGCTTTTTCAAAGGCCTGACTCTGCTCGATGTGCCCGAGGGTACTCATCCGAATGTGTATCTGACTGGCAATAACTTTGGATGGCGAGCTCCTCCGAGCACGTATGGCTCTGCAGGAGACCCATTGAGTATGTGCATCTTTCGCTGCGTTGCAGGATCAACCCCGTTCAACTCACTTTCCGCGCACCTCGCGTCTGTCATTCAGAATGCCACTCGGCGTGCTCTACCTGCTTTGGTTATGGTTCATCGGCATGCTGCGCGGACAACTGTCTGTACTGTTCCTCAGGCTCTGTATGCACCGAGTGTTACAATGGTCAAGTGCTGTTCGAAGGCCGGTGCATCTCGCCGCAAGCCGCCGCAGCCACTGCCGCATCTCGTGCAAGCGTCGCGTCGGCTTCGTCTGCAAGCATCGCGTCCGCTTCGTCCGCAACCATTGCTTCTCGCTCAGCTGCGTCGGCTTCGTCTGCAAGCATCGCGTCGGCTTCGTCCGCAACTATCGCGTCGGCTTCGTCTGCAACTATCGCGTCGGCTTCGTCTGCAAGCATCGCGTCGGCTTCGTCTGCAAGCATCGCGTCGGCTTCCTCTGCAAGTATCGCGTCGGCTTCGTCGGCCACAGTTGCTTCTGCTTCGTCTGCATCTTGGGCATCCTCTGTTTACGATGCGTCGGTCTCGGCCGCTCATGCGTGTGATGCATCTTGCGTCACCTGCTATAGTGTTGAACCACAGGCTTGCTGTGGCCAAAACTGCGCCACTTGCAGCTCCCAGCAGTGCTTGACCTGCTTTGACGGGTTTGTCAATGTCGGCAGAGATTGTCTTTCACCAGCAGCGATTGCAGCAACTGCCGCGTCTGCTTCATCTGCTTCTATTGCTTCTGAAGCCTCTGCATCGTCTGCTTCAATTGCCTCTGCGTCGTCGGCATCCATTGCATCGGCGTCGGCGGCTTCTGCTTCTTCCGCATCGTTGGCTTCTGATGCATCCGCATCCTCTGCATCTATTGCTTCCGAAGCCTCGGCGGCCTCAGCGTCCTCCGCATCGGCGGCTTCTGCTTCCTCCGCGTCGATCGCGTCCGATGAACTGGCGTCCTTGGCATCGATTTCCTCACTTGCCTCAGAAGCCATTGCGTCAGCCGCCGGCAACACTCCTGCCGTTTCGGTTGCGGCGACTACCGGTGCACTTGTTTCAAGCGCACCTGGTTTGGCAGGCTCTTCCGCCATCGCGTCCGCTCATACGACAGACCCATCTGCCGATGGGCCCGATACTGAATCCGCTTCGGGTGATTCGTCGTCCCTTCCCCTCATTGTTGGTATTGTGGTTGGGTGCGGACTCTTGCTCTTGATTATCTTGATTGTTGTGATTGTGGTTCTGCGCCGGCGCCGCCATTCGAAGAGCAGCAATGAGTGGATTGGCAAAGAAAACGCGGTGGTTCCCACCTCGCTGAACCCGCTGAACCCGCTGTACGATGATGTTCAAAACTATAGCGTCCTGACAGCGCCAGCTCCGGGCGCACACTACGATTCTATCGAACCAGCAGTCGAACACTACGCGATCTCGGGTTCTGGCCAGTACATCACTCCTGTGGTTGCCGCAAGTTCGCGTCAACCTTCAACGCCCTCCGCGCCGACGACGTACGCAGGTATCGCGACTGCATCGTATCTTTGATGTGCCATTACGTGGATTTTGTGCACCGATCAATCCAGGCATGCCCAGCCCGAGCGATCAGCTCCTTCTTGGATGTACAAACAAATTCCTTCTTTTGATACTGTAAACTTGGTTTTCATCAATGAAGCTTGACTGCAAGTTGCTAGTGTTGAGCGCATCGCATGCTGCATCTTAAATCATACAGTATGATGAATGGGCGTCGCTCAACGATGTCATCGAACTTTGTTTCTCAGCATTTGGCAACCACTATTACACCTTCAGCCTAAATGTCAAATGCGATGAAAGCTCTTTTTGATTGCCGACATCATTATGGACGAAGCGCAACACTGGCAAGGCATCCAGCATACCAAACGAGACCCGTACGATGACCGTCATGTCAAGGTCACAGTGCCACAAAGCATCTATGGAAATTCGACCCGTGTGAAAGCAATTCAAGTGGTTCGGGACACGGGAAAACTTTACCACCGCATCGGTGACAACGGCTTTGACTTGATTGTTCGAGATGAGCAAGGTGCTGTTCAATATGAATACGCGGCGAAAGCGACGTTTGTCGATTCTACGCTCGTATCCGCGACGCTCTGGCCAGCGAGTACTCCTATTATCAGGCAAATCCGCGTGGGTTGGCAAGTTCAAGTTCAACCCAGCAAGTCTGCCCGAGATGTGCGATTCGAATCGCTCGTTGTTAGATGCATGTAGCGACAAACTTTGGAACTTTGGAGATGCGCAATAGCCTCTGTTTCGAATACATTTGCAAAGCTTCCCTGCTCAAACAAATCTTACCATAAAGAACAAAGCAGTCGCAACTGGCCAGGTACAATGCAATAGCTCGCTGCCCAGCGACCCGTCCACTCCGGTCGATCAGATTCTGTACTCTAGTTTTTGCTCAAGTTTCCTCACTCGCTATCATTCATTCTTCTTATTTCTTTTTGTTGTTGCTGTTGTTGTTGCTGCTGCTTGTTGTTTTCACTTTCCGTCCTTCATCCTTCGTAGCTCAATCTCAGCAGCTAACTGACTGAACTGTTTCATGCTGAGCGTCATCCAAGCCAGCCAGCGCGGCTGGTGTTGCTCCTCTTCCTCCTCTGTGATGGCGCGATCGCCCGCTCTCTTCCTCCTGCCAGCGCACAATCGCTCACTGCAGTGCCATGGTAGCACTCAGACGGGCGCTCCGGCAGTCGCAGTCGCAGTGATGACCGCCGCTGCTGCGTTCCCGCCACGAGGCTCCTTCTTCCATTCTGCCGCCGCCGCGTGCGCTGCTGCCCAGTCGCCGCCACACTCGACCAGCACCGCGCATGGGCGTCGCGGCAGGGCAACCACCAAGTCACGACGACCCGACCATCATGAGCAGATGATGTCCGGACGGGACTCGCGCGTCTTGGAGTCTGTCCAGGGACTGAGCGGGGCCAATCGTAGCCAAGATCCGGTCGACACTCATTCTGAAGAACTCGTTCAAGCGCGCTTCCGAGCGTGGCACAAGCGACAGCGAGTATCGTACGAGCGAGTATCGTAATGATGGTTATCCCGGAAACCGGCGAGCAATGAGACCGTCCCATCCGACTCCTCCTCAAGCCGCTCGAGGTGAACATGCTCGGGTGGCTTCTCGCGAGCCAAGACAAATTGAGGCAGACCAAGATTTTGACGATGCATTCGGAGATGGCCATCCGTCACAAAGCCAGCCAGTAGCGTCCCATTTCGACGCAAACTCGAGCGGAGCATGCTCGGATTGCTCCTCGCCAGCCGCCACGACGAATTGAGGCTGACCAAGATTTTGACGACGCATTTGGGGAGGGCCATCCGTCACAAAGCCAGCCAATAGCTGTGTCCACCGTGAACGAAATTCCGCAGCACCACACTGGCGCAGCTCGGGTGCCGGCCGCCCAAGCAGAAAGCCCAGCCCCAGCAATGCCGTCCAAGTACACATTTCGGAGACGAGGCCTGGATTTACCGATGCTGGGCGGGAAAACCTCGAGTATGGACTTCGATGCCGCAAACTCGCCCAGCAATACCACAGCCAAGCCAGCGTCGGCTCTCGAAGCCATCTTGGCCAAAACTGCGTTCGTCAACCAACTTCTTGCATCAGATTCACCAGCAATTGAAAACCAGGCAATGCCAGTTTCCTCTCGCGGGACCAAACTTCCATTGGCTGACGCCCATCAACCAGCGCAGCCGCCGACCAAGCCAGTTTCACCGGCCATGCCCAAGCCACCCGCATCAGTAAGCGAGCCAGCCTCGATCGAAAGCATCGTCCAAGCGTACTCGTCTGGAGCTTCGGGAGTCCGCACTCGAGACTTGGCCCGAGCTGTCATCCCGCAGATGCAACGTGACACGGCCGTTTTGAAAGCCAACCTTGAGACCAGTGCGCGTGCCGATTTGGTCGCGGAAGGAAAATCTCCTGTTTCCAACATGCTCGCTCAAGCCAACTTGACGCTCCTTCCTGAGCTCCCTCCTTCATATGCATTGCCCTCGCCAGCTGCGCCGCGTGCCATTTCCGATAATAGTGCGCGTCCCAACCTGGCTCTTGATGACAAGCAGTCGTCGTTGCCATTGCTTGGAGCCCCGCCTGCCGCGTCCGCATCATCGCTCTTCACCTCCCCCTTAACCGACAAGTCCTCCGTCGATCCGAGTCTTGCTCCTGATAAACGCGCCCAACTCGCAAGTGTCGATTCAGCGCGAGCCAAACTCAATCTTTTGCCGGCTCCCGCCACCCTGGACGACATGGGACAGGTGGCTGCAGCCACAACCGAGCGCAGTGTGGCGTCGCTCTCGCAAGCCCGTTCGTCCACCTCCAAGCCCTTCTTGACCAAAGCAGCCCTCGCCCTCAAGGCCGGTGTCGACACCCGCGCAGCCGTGCAGCCTCTTCATGCAGCGCGCACCCCGTCCCGAAATAGCCGCGATCGCAGTTTGAAAGCCGAGTTTGCTGATTTACTGGCGCCGAACATGCCAACCCCGAGCGACGACGACCCGGTGTTTGAGTTGCCTCCAGCGATTGACCCGTTGCTGGGTGACAGCACCGCGCCATCCCAGTCAAATGACTTTGACGAAAAGCTTTCGGCGGCAGCTGCGCAACTCGCTAAAGCCGTTGCCACGGACGCTGTCGTTGCTGCAAAAGAGCGCACTCGGAATGCAGTCACCATTCAGGACATGGCTCGGACAGTGTACGACTCTGTGGCGCTACCGCACGTGCGAGTTTCGGCTGCTTCCCCCGCTGCTGCATCAACAACGACTCCTGCCTTGGACAGTGAGCATACCAAAACGCCACTGCCATCGTTGCTCGACCACCTCCTTGCAACGCCATCCTTTGCTGCTGCAGTTGTTGCCGCGCAGCTTCGTCCTTCCCCTCGAGACACCTGGCAAATCGCACCACCCTCTCCGCTCGCTCGTGTTGCGTTAGCTGCCGCAACACGCCGCCTCCAAGCCCTTGCAGACCAACCCCCGTTGCTTCTGGCCGAGTCTGGCACTAATAATCCATCCTCTTCCAGCAACCCCTTCAAGAAGGAGGATGCATTCGTGTCAAGTAATGAAGAAAGCTTTGCGTTGCTTTTGACTTCGCCGCCAGAATCGCAGGAAAGCGTTTCAGTATTGTCTGGTCTGCCTGTACCGCAATGGCCGACTCTCATCCCGTCCGACGCAAACCCCGAAAACGCGCTTCAACTCTTAACACTGCCTCCCGTCTCACTCGCCCAGGCTGAAATGACCTCGCAAGGTCTCGGCGAATCCTTCTTTGTGAAATCGCAGCGCGTTGCAGAATCCTTGGAGCGAGCCATCACCACCTTCGAGGCCGACAAGAAGCGGCTTCCCGAGCTCATTTATCAGCCAGCACCCGCGCCGCTAACCCCTCAACTGCTCGAGATTTTCAACGCGCTGCCCGTCCAAAGTGTCCCTCGTCCAGCAGACCTACTACCTCGAGATGAGCCCGTCACACCACGCGTGCGCGCTTCCGAGCAGCTGTCGGTTCCTGAGATTGAGGCACTCATCCAGCACGAGCGCAAGACGCAGCGGTTTTTGTCTGTCGAAACAGCATTTGCATTGTTGCGCCGGCTGTGCTCGGAGGATCGCGCGCTTGAAGCCTCGACAGTGCTGACTTCTCACTTTGCCCTGATTGACAAGCTTCCCCTGTCTGCTGTATGTATTCTTGGATGCTATTTGGATGAGTTGTCGACCTTGTGCAATTCCTTGCCTGTTCTCATCCTTTGCCGTGGTCTCCTTTTTTTTGTTTGTTTGTTTTTTTTTTGGCAGCCCTTGTTCGATACGGTCGCTGCGGGGCTCTACCACGAAGACAAGCTCGAGGCGGTTCTCGGTTTGTATGATGAGATGATTAAAGTGCTGCACGAGCGACCTAGTCAAGAGCTCTGTCACATTGCCATCCGGGCTGCAGGAAAGATGCAGCTTGCTGAGCGAGCCAAGAAAATCTCCGAGGACATGTCCTCCTTCTCTCATGTGGCGAACGACAGCACCTATGTGGCGCTGATTGGCGCGTACGCTCGACGCAAAGATTACTTTTCCGCCGCCTTCGAGACTGGCGCACAGCTGGCAGAACGAGGCTACAGGCCTGAAGAATCCACGCTGCGAGGGCTAATGCATGCCGCGTCTGTCGCTGGCAACATTCGCGTCGCTCACCAGCTGTGGAGTGTGCTTGCCAGCGTTCCGGGCTTTGCGGGAGACACGGTTTCGCCAAGTGGAGTCAGTTTCCCGCATCCTCGCATTGTCGAGCTGATGCTGAAAACCTACGCCAGTGCCCTCGCTCCTCCCACAGTCACAGCGCATGAGGCAGATGTGCAAATTCAAGGCGCGCCGATTGAAGATGTCACTGAGCGATCGACCAACAACTTTATTTTGCAGCATGATAGGTACAAACAATGGAGCTGTCGGTTTGTCGAGTTGAAATGTTTGTTTTTGGGGGGGGGGGTTTTCGTTTGCCTCGTTGGTCTCGTTTCTCTGTCTCTGTTCGGGGGGTCTTTACTCAACTCATTGAAAAACATCGTCTTGTTCACGCACATAGGTTGAGTATTCTGGATCCGCCCGACCTTCCAAAGGCGCTTCGAGCAAAGGTGGACCGGGCGGGCCACAGGTACGAGTTTGGCATTGGTGCAGCGGCCGCAGCTCCTGCGATCGTCCTGGAGCGCGAGGCACGCTGGCACAAGACTGTGGCCAAGCATGGGGTGGACGCATCTCTGGCTCAGCGACACCTCTTCTTCCCGAGTCAAGCCCGTCCGGACTTGTGCTTTTTGACCGAGTTTGCCGGGCTGCCAGGATCACCCGACCCCGCATCCCTCACAGCCGCGCCAGTGGCCGCAGCGATCGCTGTTCCAGCTCTTCTGCGCTCGCCAGTTCCGCTTCTGCCCCGTTTCTCTGTCTTTCATGACACCGTCGATGCGATGATTGAGCATGAGCGCAGAGTTCGTAGCGTTCGAGCACAAGCAGCCATCGCTTCAGTCCAGCTGCTCGCCGAGGACGAGGAAGAAGCTGCCGCTGCCCTGGAAGCCAGGGTGCTGGCCATGCAAGAAGAAGACTCTACAACCGCCAAGCCGCCGCCGCCGTCTGCCTTTGGCAGAATGCTTGTTGGCTTGGGACATGCCATGCTGAACGACATGGTTTCGGCTGATGTTTTGCCGACTCCTGCCATTCTGAATGCTCTTCTCTTCATTTATCTCAACGACCGCCGACTGACCGACGCGTTGGCCGCGTACAAGACGCTGTTCGTGGATCGCTTCCGAGTCCAGCCAAACGCGACCACCTTCCGGTCTCTTTTGGCATCGTGCAACTTGTCAAGGCGTCTAGACCTGGCTGAGCTCGTTTTCAACGAGCGCAACAGCGTGCTTTTCGGCACCCACGGTGCAGACCTGAAGCTGACGTTGAACTTGATTCACTTGGCTGCTCGAACCGATCGCCTCGATAAAGCCGTCGCCTACCTTAATTTGTTGGTTGATGTTTACCAGCATGTGCCACGTCCCGAACAGTTGCAAATGCTGCGCACTCGAGCGTTGGCTCTCGGACAACCGGATGTTTGGCGGAAAGTTGTCGACAAATGTCGTGCCTTGGGCAATTCCGAGCTGTGGACTGATCCGAAGCCCGTGACGTTCAGTGCCAAGGCACACCGTGCATTCCAGGCCTCGCGACCCAAAAAACACCAAAACCTTCTGGACGAGCTGCCAAAGTTTGACCGCAAGGAAATTCGGGAGACCAAGCGCGAGATTTCGCAGATGCGTCGAAACGCGCGCGAGTTTGGAGCACTGCTCCATGAGCCTGACTCGAATTTCAAAGCGCTTGAAAAGCTGCAAACCGAGCAAGAACGCCTGGCAGACAAGCGCAAGCGATGGGTCAGGAATCTTGGTTCAAACAGCGCCTCCTCCGCTTCCGCCAGTTTCGTTGGTGATGATTCACCCAGAGCACCCTCGGCGCGTCATCATACTCGAGGACGAGAAGGACGAGGAGGCTGGGAACGCTCTCATTCGCAGGAGGATGAGCCCAATCATGACCTTGGGTCCAGTGCCACCGTGCCAACGCCCTGGTTTGCTCAAGACAGAGACGCCGTGGGCTCTCGTCTGGACCTCGATCGCTCTGCTTCTGCCGGAATTGGTCGGGGCGGCGTCAAGTCCCGGGTACGTGGCTCCGTCGCCTCGAGTCGCGAGGACTGGGCAGAACGCAATCAGCGCAACAGGGCCGAGAAGATTCGTGCATCTCAAGAGTTTGTGCCCTCTCAGCATGCTGCGAAACGAAGCGGCAGAGGCTATCGCGACGCCCGTCGCTAGAAGCCTTGTTCGTGGCGTTCTTTGGCAAACTGTATCAAAGCAGTGAAGACAAACTTGCATTCACATTCTCATAAAAATTCTTTGACTAATCACATCACGTGTGTCATGCAAGTCTTTCTTTGTTTGCATGTTGGTATGTGTGAATGTTTTACTGCAATTTTCATTTCACACTGAGCGAAACCTAAACTACTGGCAAAAAAAAACAAGATCGCTGCAGTCTTCAAAAAATCGCTTGCAGTCTTAATACGGGACATGCTTGACAAACTCGAGCACTTCTGATCCCGCTGAGGAGGTGTGAGGCGAGATGTGGCGAGTGGTGGACAACGCGGAACTCGGGTCGAGGGCAGAATTGAATTCAATGGTGAGCGCAATCTCGTGCGCTGCGGGCACGGTGACTGTGCCGATAAACTCGCCGGTGCGGTCGTCCATGTCGATTTCTTTGGTCACTTTGGTTGCGTCGTCACCGGAGCCCGAGAGGGGTCGAACTCGAGCCATGACGCTATGGACACAGCGAGGAGGCTCTGAAGGACGCGCCGGGTCGCCGGAGATGCGAATTTGCCAGGTGTTGCTCGGACCGTCCATTCGTTGCTGCCAGTGGATGGAAAATGGCTGCGTGTAGTCCAGCGGCGGGACGGTCATGGAGAGGTGTGCCATAATGCGACGCATGACTGCATCGCAACGCGTATTGATTTTCAGCGCAGCTTGCGAATCATACGGCGTTTCCTGAAGTGTCACCACCACTGTCTTCTTGGCCAGGAATGGCAGCTGGCAGAACGGCGACACCAACAGCGAGCTGCCGAGCACAATCGCCAAATCTGACTTGCGCGCCTGCTCGTCCGCACGTGCCAGGGGCTCTGGCGGAGTCATTCCGCCCATGCGCGTGCCAGTCTTGCGCAGCGTTCCTCGGCAAGCTGCATTATCGCAGACACGGCCCAGCGTTGGTACAATCACTTTGCGATGGAACAGCGTCTTGCACTACAGCGCAAAAATTTGACAGTTTGGCAGTTTGACAGTGAGAATGAGTGGTGATTCACCCAAACCCCCTTCGATTGTTTTGACTCGCGTAATCCAACATTCTTCCAGTGAGCTGAGCATTCTCAGATGCGGTTTTGCGGTTTGGTTGGACTGCTAACTTTTAGTTTTCGTCACAATCCCAATCATCCCAAACGCCTGCCCCCGCGCAGTCTCCGCGCCGTCCAAACCCCATCCGCGCCAAAACGCAAGCCAAATCACTCGCTGCGCACTCCATTCCCCCTCGCTGGACTCGGAATCCAGCCTGTACGTCATCATCACTCATCCTACGTCAGTGAACTCTCCAAGCCTCCTGCCCTTGTCCCCCCGCCCCAAACATCTCCATTCAACATGAGGACTTGCCTTGTCGCACTTTTCCGTGTAAACGTTGCCAAAGATGTCGGCAATGACCTCGTCGGGGGTGCCTGCCTTGTTGTGGAGGCCGTCGTGATTGCTGGTTGCAACGAGCTTGACGACTCCGCTGCGAGCGAGCGCTGCGACGGCCGCGTGCGCATAGGTCGGCATAATGTAATCGAGCTCCTTCTGCTCGCTCAGACCAAGCGCGACGAGCGGTTTCCGCGTCATCTGCAATCCGGTTGTTCCGCGGTAATCCGGAATTCCCGACGACGTCGAGATGCCCGCGCCAGTGAACACGGTAATGTACTTTGCTGCGTCTATCATTGCGCAGAGCTTGCCGAGCTTGGTCTCGAGCAGTGCAGGCGCGTCTTCGAGCTCCGGGGGAACGCCATCGTCCGTCCAGCCAGCCATCGTGAAGAATTGGTGTGTAAGAGAATCAAAAACAAAAAAAAAAAAGACTGAGAAGTGACTGAGAAGTGACAGACTGAGAGAAGTGAACCGAGAAGGCTCGAAATCAGTTGGGGGCTCAACTTCATTGGAGAATGTCACTGGTACGATCGCTCATGAAACTCGGCTGTGGTCGTCTGAGACCGATCTCTGTTGTCTGAGTTGGCTCAGTCTTTTTGTGTTTCACTGTGCTCAGTCATTCAAACCTCACCACTTTTTTTTTGTTGTTTTGTTTTCTTGTTTTTCTTCTGCTCATCACAACAACTCTGATACTTGAGCGATGGCGGCACACGCGTCGTCGATGCGGTGGATGGCATCGTCGTCGTCGTCGTCGTCGTTGAGCTCTGTTGCTCCAGCCATTCCCGCCAAAACGACTCAGAGCAGCGACGCGCTCCTCGTGCCGCCGACCGACTTCCCATTCCCGTTCCAGCCATACTCCATCCAGCGCCAGCTCATGCAGGCCCTCTACACTGCCATCGAAAACCGCCGCTTTGGCATCTTTGAGAGCCCAACAGGGACGGTACGTTTTCGTTCGCGAGTTTTCCCGCCAAAAAAAAAAGCAATCCAAACACCGCCGCTCGGCTTCCTGCACGCTCACTCCCCCGTCTTGCAATGTCCTGTGTTGTACATGTGCACAGGGCAAATCGATGAGCATCATTTGCGGCGCCTTGACGTGGCTGCGGGACCACGAGGCGCGACAGGTGCGGCTTGGCGGCTCGCTGATCGCCGCGGCGCAGGGCCGAGACCAGCCAGTGCAGCCAGCAGGCTCAGTCGCGCCAGGAGTACCCTCTGGTGCATCTGACGCATTTCGTGGTGCGGGTGGCGGAGCCGGTCGCGTTGTCGACGACAGACTCGCCGCTAGCTCCTCCTCCTCGTCATCGCGAATGGAGACCACCGCTGCTGCTGCTGCTGACGAAGACAATGCAGAGCCAGACTGGGTGCTGGACTTTGCAGCAAAGAAGGCTGGAGAGAACCATGAGCGTCGCATCCGAGAAGAGCAAGAGCTTTTATTGAAGCAAACAGAGCGACTGGCCCAGGTGAAACGAAAGCTCTCACAGTCCAAAGCATCCGTCAAACGCCTCGCCGCTGGATCGGAAAAGCCAGTGTCAATCCCGACAGCTGCGACGGGCGCTGCGGCAGATTCCGATGGCGACGAAATGGACACACTCAGTGACGGTGAGGCCGACTTGATCTTGTCCGACTACTCCCCCGACAAGGAGCAGAGCGATGCATCCGACTCTGATTCAGACAGTGAGGCTGGATCGGGCAAGTTTGATGCAAGAAGGAAGAAAAAGGCCAGCGCCGTGCGCGATGACGAGGACGAGGAGGTCCCGGATGTGGCAAAAATCTACTACTGCAGTCGCACGCATTCGCAGCTCAACCAGTTTGTGCAAGAAGTTCGCAAGTCTCCGTTTGGCGAGACTACCAAGGTCGTCGTGCTCGGCTCTCGCAAGAATCTATGCGTGAATGACGATGTTCGCAAACTCGAAGCCGTGGAGCGAATCAACGAGCGCTGCGACGACTTGAGAAAGAATGCGAGCAAGTCCAAGGAAGCGAAAGGTGCGCACCACGATGGATGTGCGTGTATGGAGTGTTTGAAGTGTTTGGAAGCGAGGTGTGCTCACCTGTACCACACTTAACAGGCTGCCCGTATCTCACCAATGATAGCGTTTCAACTCTTCGTGATTCAATTCTGGTACGCGAATGTGCAATGGGCGGCTCGAGTTGAACCACGAGCTGGGCTGCATCCAACTCTCACGTTCCCAATTTATTCCTCGCTTTGCTAGGTGCATACGACGGACATTGAAGAGCTGGTCAACCGCGGAAAGAAAATGGGCGCTTGCGCTTACTATGCCTCCCGTCGCGCCATCCGTGCTGCACACTTGGTGGCTCTGCCTTACCAAATGCTTTTGCATCACTCGACGCGAGAGGCGCTTGGAATCAACCTGAGCAATCAAGTCGTGATCGTGGACGAGGCGCACAATGTGATGGAAACACTGAATGATATTTACAGCGTCACCATCACCCTCGCAGTCATCCGTGCAGCTCAAAGCCAGCTGGAGCAGTACGCCGAAAAGTACAACACGCGACTGAGTCTTAGCAACTTGCGATTTGTCAACCAACTCTTGTTTGTCATGCGTGCCATGCAGCGCAGCGTGACTGGACTGCCCTCAACTGAGCGAGCTCCGGGCGCCAGTGCCCATCTGTCAAGCAAGTCATCCGCTTCGGGGGCTGCGGACGAGCACAGCGCAGTGTTCACCATCAACGACTTTGCTCGGATCAACAACTTTGACAACATCAACCTGTTTCACTTGCAGAATTTCTGCGAGCAGAGCGAGATTGCCAAAAAGCTGCATGGCTTTGCCGAGCGCTTTTGTGCCCCAGCCACGCTGGCCAGCTCAGCATCGATGGCCAGCGAGGAAGGCGAAACAACCGTGTTGACAACGTCAACCGGACGCGAGCCCGTCTTCCAACGCAACGTTTCTGCTCTGCAGTACGTGCTCCGCTTCTTGATGAGCCTCGCAAACAATGACAGCGACGGGCGTGTTATCGTGACCGCCTGCCGTCCACCGACCTCGGCAGAAGACGCTTCGGCGGTGGATGCACGCAAGTCCACACTGCGCTTTGTCATGCTCAATCCAGGCGTTCACTTTCGCGACGTCGTGGGAAGTGCCCGCGCAGTAATCTTGGCGGGTGGCACAATGCAACCGACGGATGCGTTTGCCAACCAGCTGTTGGCGCCTCCTTCGCATCCCGACCTGCTTGTTCCGGTTGCCTCAGCTAGTGCTGCATCGGCGCAGCCGTTCGCTTCTGTGGCTGCAGCTCCAACATCCACGTCTTCCACTCCCGAAACCCAAGTGTTTTCGTGCGGTCACATCATTCCGGTGGAGAATCTCCAAGCGGTGGCGCTTGCGTTTGGACCGACGGGCGAAGTCAAGTTTGACTTTTCCTTCCGCTTTCGCCACGACACAAGGGTCATGGATGAGCTCGGTCGTGCACTGTGTGACATTGTGGCATGGGTGCCCGAGGGCGTTGTCTGCTTTTTCCAGTCATACGACTACATGGCCAAGGTTTTGGACCGCTGGCGGCAAACCGAGGTTTTGCAACAAGTGCAACTGAAAAAGCGCGTGTTTCAAGAGCCGCGCGTGGCGGGCAATGTCGACTCTGTGCTTCGAGAGTACTCTGAGTGCATCCGAGCTGGCAATGGAGCCATCTTGTTTTGTGTTGTTGGCGGCAAACTGAGCGAGGGCATCAATTTTAGTGACGGGCTTGGCCGGTGAGTCAGCGAGAGACTTGTTGCGATGGTGGTGTCATGTTGATGTGTTGAGCTGAACTTCTCACTTGTCCTGCCGGATGGGGTTTTGTTGAGCAGCTGTGTTGTGATGGTCGGTCTTCCATTTGCCAACATGTACTCGACCGAGCTCAACGAAAAGATGCGCTACCTGAATGAGCAGGCCAAGGTTCGTGCCCTGGCCTCGTCCAAGACCAATAAACTGGTAGGTGGGGTTGCGTTGCAGAAGAATCTTTGCCTCCCATATTGTGTAGGTTGAATTTTAACTCGATCTTGGTTTGTACCTCGCTACTCAGCCGCCATCGTTCGACGAAACTGCCGCTGGCGAAGAGTTCTATCTCAATCTTTGCATGAGGGCCGTCAACCAGTCGATTGGTGAGTGAAGGTGCCGCGTTGTCTGGTCATGTGCTCATTCCAGCTGCTTGTTCTGATGCAGGACGCGCGATTCGACACTCGAAAGACTATGCAACCATCTTGCTTCTCGATCACCGGTTTCTCCAACCTCACATCCAAGCCAAGCTCCCAAGGTGGATTGCAGAAAGCGCGAGTTTCACGTCCACCGAAAAGTTTCGAGTCGCCGCAGGTCGTGTCCTATCGGTGAGAAGAGTGCTTCCCGCGTAATGTGTGTGTTTTTTGTTGCGCGTAGTCACTCATTCGACAATATCGTTGCGCGAAATAGTTTTTTGCGAAAAAGCCTGCGCCGCCTGTACATTAATCTAGTGCCCAACGCTAACTGTATTGTATCAAAATCTCATGTTACTTGTTAACCATACACATACACGCTATCCCATGCTCTAAATGTCCACAATGACGTAAATGTCGCACTTCCCGGTGGCCGGGTCCTGGTGGATTTGCATGTTGGAATAGGTGATGGCCTTGACCTCGGTGCCTTGGCCGTGCTTTGCCTTGTCAAATGTCTCTCCTCGCCCGATAGCCTTGATTTTAAAGTTGGTCGCATCAAACTCAATCATCTCAATGGTCTTGACAACCAAGAATTCCGTGCAAAAGTTGAAAAGAAACTCGTCCATGAACATGAACAAGAGCGTATCGAGGTCACGCCAACAGCCCAGATCGACATTTGTGTACATTCAGTGACACGTCTCGTTGTCAGCAAGCATGGATGTCAGCAAGCATGGATGACCTTCTGAGAAAAACGACCTCTCAGACTTTCACACTTTTTGTTACCTTCCGCTTCGATGCACAATATCAGCCTTGTCAGTGTCTGTCATGTATCCGTACATTGCATAGACGACTTGCACGAACGCCTCAGCCAGCGAATCGCCCCCTGTGTTAAGCGTGCGTTTCAGATGAGGCTCCTCATAGCACTGCGCTTCCCCCACCACCACCACCACCAGGCCCCGCTTGCCAGGTATCAGTGTGCTTACATGAGTGCAGTCTACGCAGCACAAGTGAATCGAGATCGAGTTCGGTCGAGGGAAGCAACACGTCACCAGCACAATGATGTAACAATCCCAATGCAAAGCGCAATAGAAAAGGTCAAGTCAGCACGATCATCACTATCAGGCAGCAAAAGAATACTTGGAAACATTGAAACATGAACCAAACAAAGTGAATGGTGAAAAATGAACGCAACTGGATGTCAGCGGTGTGGTCGAGATCTGAATTTGCAAAAAAGTCAATTGGAACAAGCCGCTCTGAGTTTTTGACAATGCTCATGACTATGGCAGGTGCACCTCACTGAACAATGGATGGAGCAAATAAACACAACAATGGTAGTTACACTCGAACTTCTTGACGGGAGCGCTTTCGGACATTGGAGGAAATGATAGAGTGTGACAAAGAAAACAAAAGACTGAGACGAAACAAATATGGGCAAAGTACTGTACTGAGAACAGCGCTTTAAAAAACACACACACAGGACGTTGTGTATTGCAAGTATAAGTCTGCTGCAGTGGCACCTTTGTGTGGTGATTCCATACTGAATCAACCCTGTGATTGCTTGGAAGTGCTCGACCACAACCATCCAGATGAAATGCCGAAATCCCACAACCGACGCGTCTTGTGCACGTCGATTCGAATCAGACCGCGAGCGTCTATTAGCCGTAGACCGTCGTTGGCCTCACAGGCGGATACTAGAGTACTCTTGAGCGACAAATATTGGTTGGGAGCAAACCGCAGCGTGACGCAGATCTCTTTCTCGTCTTCTGTGAGCTGGTCGTATCCAGGGAGGTTTGAAATGACCATCGCCTTTGCTGCCGATGATGATGAGGAGCTGCTTGACGGGTACCGGCTGAATAGTAAGGACAAGACACACACGACAAGCGGACGTGAATGAGGTGTTTTCTACTTGGAGCATCAGCGGTTCTACTCGGAGGAGTAGAGCACATACCTGTTCGCGGTCACAAGGGAGGAAAAGCTGGGCGTTGGACGTGATGCTTTGCGAGATTTCTCAGAGGCTCGCTGCCAGATTCCAGAGCCGAGCGGAGGTCAGCACCCAACCACAATTTCGCTATTCCACAGACACAAAAGCAATCCATACCTTGGCCTTTTCGAGATCATGGATTTTGCCTGCAGCGAGGGTGCGCACGCCATTGGCTCGATATTCGCGGAGCTGGTCGAGGCGCTTGCGAAGCCGCTGCTCAAGGAGTAACGATTGAATAAACCCTTCCTGTTGTTCGAACGACTGAAAACGGGCCAGCCCAATGAGTTGGTTGCGCAATTGCCGCTCGGCCTCCGTGTTGGGGTGCGCGACGTTTCGACGATCCAGAAGGCCGTGAGCTCGAACAACTTCTTTTCGCGCAAGTCGCTCATCAAGGTGCTCGTTGTACATTGAGACAAGTTCAAGTTTGACTCTTCGTTCCAAGTCAGAGTCTTCATCGTTGAACACGACGTCCTTCACGAGAAACTCGGCCGTGTTATCGTACTCGACCTCAAAGTCGCCACGGAGCGGAATGAACCCAGCCACTTCAGGCCCGAGAGACTTTGGCGCGGTACTAATCAAGGAAGACGCCTCGGTCTGTGTTCCGCTGAAGGGAATGTCTGCGACTGGTTCGTCGAGCTGCAAGATTTCAAAAGCAAAGCGCAGGCATTGTTGGTGGGGACAAAGTGAGTCGCGTGCAAGTGAAATGTCACGATTCTGTAGAGCTCCTCCTTCCACGTACCTCTGAGGTTGCTGGTAGAATCAAATGGCGACAAAGAAGTTTGCGGGTATCAGGTAACGGTGCTTGCGAATGGCAGAGATAGAATTTTGCGTAGTGGGTCTCGCACTCTTGCGCGGTCTGTTGAATGAAACGCAAACAAAATGACAAAGTATGGTATCAGCTTCCAAATGCTGCTGTCACTTGATCGTACCCTCACGCATCAACCAATCTCCTAATGAACACCAAGCAGACCTTACCTTCGTTGCAAGGGCTTCACTAACGTATTCCCATGCAAGGCCATTGTGCTCGATCGCGTCGAGTAATGCGAGCTCTTCCTGCGCCGTCCATCCGGCTTCGAGTACAGGATATTGATAGTTGTCAATCACCCTGTGAAATCCAAACATTGACATGGTGAGATTGACCTTGCCATGCCAAAGGATTGCTGCTGGGTTGGCTGCAAACCTGTAATCGTGCGTGTTTCGGTGATTGCACGTCACTCCTTCGACTTCGACGCCTTGAGTGAAGCAATTCACGCACAGTTGCACATTCTCGCACTCGGCACACTGATGGTTGAACAAGCAGTCCAAAGTTAGACACCGCACTGAACATGATCAAAGCAGGGGCAAACCTAGAAGGCCGGCTCGGCTCGCCTCGTCGGCCGTGTTCGCACTTGCCTGTATGTAGGGTGTGTTTGTCGTGTCCTTTGTGCATGCCTTGCAGGTCGTGCGCGCGGCAGTCGGGAGCGTGGCGGTCGTTGCAGGTGCCCGCGCGGTGTTTGACTGCAGCGACATTGGCCAGCCAATCTCAGAAGGAAGGAAGAACGACTGGAAAAAAAAAAAAACATTGAATAAAGAGCGTGTGGAAATAAGCAAATATGCAGTTGATGCTTTGTGAAGCAGTAGAATGGCAAGGGAAGCGTTGGTGAATGCTCGTGTACAGAATGAACATTGAATTTAACAATCCACTTCGTTCCCTGTCCAATAGCTCCAAAGAATCGACCTGTGGGATTCCGAGAAGCACAGTATTTATGTCATGAGCATTTCGGTGAAGCTGAGTAGGGCTGGAATGCTGAGAAAAGGGTTGGCAGAATGGTGCACCTTGAGTTGCGGCCTTTGGTCGAGTCGTTTGCATTTGTTCAAAGAGCGCTTTACAAACGTCGAAACTAATAGCGACTCGTGGATTACGAGACAGACCATCGCAGTTGATATCACTGCATCACAAATGCGCAGACGCCTAGTCTGTGAAGCGCTGGCAGCATTCACTCGCATTCCAGGGACCAATACTGGACACTCTTAAATTGAGTTTGTTTGAATGCAGATTAACCTCCACCCTCCAGTCGCCAAAGCTGCACCTTCAAGTAACTCGAGTAAAAAGCTATATTTGAGCCATGTTTGTCATTGAATGAACGGTTGTAGGGACTGTCATCACGACGAAATTTTGCTGCAAAATTGAGGGATTGAACACACGAAAAACTCTGACATTTGGCGTTTTTCCCTTCCGCTTGTGCTTGGTTGCATTTTCAAATACATCATCGATTGCTGAGCCACAATCAACTCAATTGACAGCTGCCGTTCGAGTAGACGATGATTGCAAGCCGGGGAAAAAAAAAAAAAAAAAAAAAAAAAAAAAAAAGCAACAAAAGCTCAACCAAACAAAAAAGAATATGTCGGCGATGGGATTCGAACCCATGAGCCAAAGGCACTGCAACCTGAATGCAGCGGATTAACCAGCTTTCCTACACCGACTTGATACGATTTGCATTGGGCCATTTGGCAGTAGAATCGAGCTGGAATCGACTGATTCGAGATGTCAGCGTTCGCACTGCAGATCGCTCCATATTGCTGCCCCAATCCATTCCAAACTATTCTCACAAATTTTATTGTACCACTTTTTTGGTTGAATCGATGAAATTGTCGGTTTGGGTTTGTTTCGGTGCGTTACGCTGCGTCGATTCCAGTCCTTCCCCCAACTCACCCATTCTCCTTGATTTTGCACTCTTTGTTCACTCTTGTAATTTTTCCGTACCACTTCCATTTGGATTCGATGCTGTCTGCGGCTCGATCGCTTGGGCTTCAACAAGCGCCTCGGCTCGCCTTGTTGGCTGCATCCAGCGCTCGCCGCCTGGCCACCGTGGGCACCACTCGTCATCTGGTAATGTGCCCCCCGTCCCCTTTCGATATTGATCTGTCTGGCGGTCTGAGTTGCAAGCCAAAAGCACAGCCGAGAACCAGAGGGCAATGTCTTGGCTTTTTGCTCCGTTCCAACCCCACTGGACTCTTGACGATCTCGCCACTCCACACTCGGGATCGGTCGGAAACCCAAACCCGAAAGCAAACAGTCTGCGCTTCCATGCCCTGACAATTGATTCGGTGCTGGCGAAGACGGCTCGGAGTCTGACATTTGGCTGACCTTCTGCTTCTGCTTCTGCTGCTGCTTGACAGACGACACTCGCTCAACCAGGCACGGATGTGCAACGAACACCTACTGGAAATGCCACTCGGAATGGGCTTCGAACACCTTCCAGTATTGCCACGGGGTCGTCGCGCCGAGTGCAGCATCCGAACTTCAACTTGACACGACGTGCCATGTCGAGTGCTGCTGCTGCTCATGCACCTGCTCCTGCTCCCGCGACCGCACCTCGACGAATCTCCTCTCACTTGGAATTGCCGTTCGTTATTGGCCAGCAGGTTCACGGATTCACCGTGCGCGACATTCAGCTCGTGAAGGAGTTTTCGCTCACCGCCGTCCATCTCACGCACGACGCAACGGGTGCAGACTATGTGCACATGGCCCGAAATGACTCAAACAATGTATTTGCAGTCTCCTTCCGCACTGCTGTCGCAAACTCGACGGGCGTGCCACACATTCTTGAACACACGACGCTGTGCGGGTCCAACCGCTTTCCGTGTCGCGATCCCTTCTTTAAGATGCTCAACCGCTCGCTCGCAACGTTCATGAACGCCTGGACTGCGAGCGACTACACAATGTATCCGTTCTCGACACAAAACGGGCAAGATTACCGCAACTTGCTCAGCGTGTACCTGGACGCGACCTTCTTTCCGCTTCTGCGTGAGCGGGATTTCGCACAAGAGGGCTGGCGCGTTGAAAACACTGCGGTCGAGAACAAGGCGTCTCCACTTGTCTTCAAGGGAGTCGTATACAACGAAATGAAGGGCGCTCTGTCCGACCCCGACCAGCTGTACAACACTCGCGTCCAACAAGCCTTGTATCCCACTTCGCTGCACGCGAACGTCAGCGGCGGAGATCCTCCCGCCATCACCGACTTGAGCTACGACGATTTGATTGCCTTCCATCGCGATCACTACCATCCAAGCAACGCGCTCTTCTTCTCGTACGGCGACCTTGCGCTCGAAGAGCATCTGGAACTGGTCCAGCGCGAGGCCCTGTGTCACTTCGGGCGCCAACCTCTCAAACCACACGCATCGGGCTCCGAGCAGCGCTGGACCCAGCCCCGCACTGTCCAGCTCTCCTGCCCTCCGATCGTTGGAGGCGGCGAGGCAGAGTCTGGTTCCAGCCAACAACAAGCGGGTTTGGCTCAACCTCACGCGTCTGAAGCTGCCGAACTCGCGGAAAACGAGGAAGCCGTTGCAGCAGAGCTCAGTGGGAGTGTCGAAGACGACCATGATGCGGAGCCTTCGCACGGCACAATGAGCGCCCCTCCCGGCGTTGGCGAAGCGAGTGCACCTCAAGCCGCTGCTTCAGATCGCCGCAATAGCGTGGTCTCTGTCGCCTGGGTCATGCACGATGTCGTGTCAGTGTACGACACGTTGGTTGCCCGCATTGTTGGGGCAACGCTTGCAGGTGGCCCATCCACGCCCTTTTACCGAGCACTGCTCGAATCGGGTCTCGGTCTGGCGTTCTCGCCAAACACTGGTTGCTCGACGTCCGAGCAGCAGCCGAGCTTTGCCGTGGGCTTGAAGGACGTGCGTCTGGCCGACGCAGATGCGATCGTCAAGCTCATCGACGACACGTTGTCGCACATTGCAGTGCACGGCATCGATGCCAAGCTGGTCGAGGGCGAGTTGCATCAGCTCGAAATCACCCTCAAGCACCAGTCGAGCAACTTTGGTTTGTCTCTGGCATCCATGTTGGTTGGCAACTGGGTCCAGCACATTCCCATGCAAGAGACACTGGCTTTCAACGAGGCGATCGCTCGCTTCCGTCACGAGTTTGCCACTCAGCCCGACTTTATCCAGCGATTCGTCCGGCGCCACTTGCTCACCAATCCCCACCGTCTTGTCGCGGTGATGAGCCCCGATGCCGGGTATCAGGCTGGTCTGCTGAAGGAGGAGAGCGAGCGACTTGCACGGCACGTTGCGCTCTTGGACGACGCAGCAAAGGAAAAGCTGCATCAGCAAGGTCTCGAGCTGCAGCAGCAGCAAAACCGCATCGAGGATTTGTCGTGCCTCCCCATCATCCGAGTCGACGATGTCGAGCGCAAGGCCATCGAGTACACTGTGCAGGTCGAGCGCGTTAATGTGGCGGCGAAATCCCAGTCGCATGCGCCAGTGACCACCTCCGTCCTCCCCGAGCCAGCAGTGTCGCTGCAGCAGCAACGTCTCTCGAGTCTCAATGCTACTGGGGCAGCGATCTCGATGCCTTCAGCGTACTCTGCCCCGGAAGCCGCGCCGCTCACGCTGCAAACATCGACGCAGCCAACCAACGGTGTCTCGTATTTGCACGGCATCATCACGTATCCCATGGAGCACGCACTTGCGCGCGAAGTACAGCCCTACCTTCCCTTGTTTATGGAAGTGCTCACGGCGATGGGAGCGGGAGACATGGACTACCGCGAGTTTTCGAACGCCACCCAGACCGTTTCTGGTGGAACGCATGCAGCCGCGCACTACTGCGTCAACCCACTGGACGACACGCTCATTGAGCAAGGCGTGCTGTTTGCATCTCATTTTCTCGACCGGTACGCCGACCGTGCGCTCGACCTCTTCTCGACCGCCATGCTCCGACCGCGCCTCGACGATCCCAAGCGTTTGGTGATGCTTGCTGGCATGATGTCGCAGCAAATCAACTCGATTGCAGACTCTGGTCACCAGTACGCCATGACCTATGCTGCCCGCAACCTGTCCGGAGCTGCAGCCATCTTTGAGCGGGATGGTGGCATCACGCAGCTGCAATTCATTCGATCGCTCGAGCAAACAGTGCGCGATTCGCCCGAGCAGACGGAGAAGGTGCTTGCACTGCTGCGCGATCTCGCTCGCGAGATTCTGCCTGGCGGACGCGCGTCGAGCCCATCGCGCTTGGGATTGCGTGGCACTGCCCGTTTCTCACTCAACTCGGATGCCTCCGGCATGCCCATCGTGCGAGACACTGTTCTGCAAACTGTCATTCAGCCACTCGTGCCTGCCTATGCCTCCACGTCGGCTTCAGCGATTTCCGCCAGCCCATCGTCAGCGCCGTTCACTTCTGCGAACTTGCCCTCCCTCGTGAAACCAACCACACTGATGCAGGGTATTGACGTGCTGCGTGCGGGCAAGCTCGATTTCTACAAGCCGAGCAAGACGTTCTTCCCATTCCCGTTCCTCAACGTGCACCATTGCGCGCTTGCCTTCCCGTCTGTGCCAGCCACTCACGCCGATCACGTTCCTCTGCAAATCCTTGCACGGATCTTGACGCACAACTTTTTGCTGCGTGAAGTTCGCGAAAAGGGCGGCGCGTACGGTGCAGGTGCCAACGCCGGTCGCGGCGTCTTCACCTTCTACTCTTATCGCGATCCCCGTGCTCTCGGCACATTTGACAGCTTCCACGATGCCATCCAATGGGTCTTGCACGGCAGCAGCGCGAATGGCACGGTGACAGACCAGCATCTCGCCGACGCAAAGCTGAGCATTCTGGCGGCGGTCGACTCTCCCGTGTCTCCCGGCAAGCGTGGCATGGGTCTCTTCTTGTCGGGATACACTCGTGAAATGCGCCAACGCGCCCGCGACGCCATTTTTGCCACTACCATTGCCGACGTTCAGCGCGTTGCGCAGCAGTATCTCGCCAACAATTTGCAACGTGCCAGCGCTGCCGTTGTTGGACCCTCGTCCTCTGTGGACGGGCTGCTCCAGTCCGCTCGCGGCAGTGACTGGACGGTCATTGCCCTCGATTGATGATGAGCTTGAGCATGTTCTTATCTTTTGTTGTAACCGCTCGTCGTTGATTTCTGAGTGCAGAATTACACCACAGCAGCAATTTCATGATTTCTTTCTGGATTGATCTCTTATTGCTCCTCTAGCCCCGATTTTCGTTGCTAGGCTCGCCCTTCATTGCTTGCTCTTCACTGAACAAACACCCAATTCATCTCAATACGCTGGTTTTCTGTGGACTTTCCCGCTGTGATGTCAACTATGACAATGAGCAATTGCTGCGCGGCTTATTCGTGCTGGCATCAGTCTCGAAACTATTTAATGTAGTGCGAATGACCATAGACTCAGGCTGGATGTCAGAGCCTCTCCCCCTCAGCTGAGCCAGAGCGACCGTCATTGGCACCAACAAACCCCACCTGTACTCAACCTTTCTCTGTCCTCGCTCTCGCAGAGTACTGGGCTCTTGCTGTTAAGCTGAATTTGTTTGTATTTGTATTTTGACTGTTTTTGTTTGTTGGCTGTGCGGTTTGTTCGCATTTTCGGAGCAGCATGACTAGGCTGTTTGTTCAGCGCCACGTACAGCGCAAGCCTTCAGTGGCGATTCCGTTGATGTTACAACCAAGATTGAACACACCCAGTACATGCATTTGAGCTCTCCGCTCTAGCTCACGAACAATGAACAGAAGAGCCAAAAGTACGAATCGGGAAATGTGCAGTCCATTTTTTTATTTTTGTTTCCAGATTTCGCTTCCACATGCAGAGTATGAATCCAACTCAGCGCGAGCTGTTTGAACTTGCCAAGAATGCGAGTGGAGTGCTCCAGTAAGAAAAAGCCGAGTCTATGGAAAAGCAAGCGTGACAGAGCGTGCGCTGACGAATTTGACAGTCTGATTGGCAAACAGCTTAGCGATGCGGACGCCCAGGCAATTGCTGAGGGCCTCAAAGTGAACACGACGCTGGACACACTCTTGTAAAGCATCTCACTTTGACGGATGCATGAGAATGGGTGATGCAATAGAGGGTGTTACGTGTGGCTCACTGATGGAGGAGTTGGATAGTCTGGGTCAGAATCAAATTGGCGATGCTGGAGCTCGAGCAATCGCTGAGGCAATTCAAGCAAACTCGACGCTGACTGGTCTCGGGTAAGAAATCTCACTTTGACTGGTGCATGAGAATGGCGATCCAACAGAGGGCAGTCAGGGTACTCACTGTTGGAGGGATGGACAGCCTTTACGAGAATCAAATTGGCCATGCTGGAGCGCAGGCGTTTGCTGAAGCTCTCAAAGAGAACCAGACCTTGCTTCATCTCGCGTAAGCTAACTCACATGTACTGTTGTATGTGGGTGGTGATGTAGCAGAGCACAGTAAAAAGTGCTCACTGATGCAAGGCATGTACAGACTGAATGGCAACCAGATTGGCGACGCTGGAGCGCAAGTGATTGCTGAGGCGCTCAAAGTGAACACCACGCTGACTGACCTCCAGTAAGCATTGATTGCTTCAGGACGCTCTGAAGGTCGTGAGCTCATGCGACAATCTGCCGATGAAACAATGACATGTTTGCAGTTTGAAAGATAACTTCCTGAGCAACGCTGGAACCACTGCACTCAGGCAAGCGGGCAATACCACTTGTACATTGTTGTAAGGCTCTGCATTTTTGACTGGATTCTTGCACAAAGCGCTTGAACAACAAACCATTCACTTGCATTGGCAAAAACTGGAATTGGCTCAGATTGCAGCTGGTGCCGCAGCAAAGGCTGCAACTGAGATTCAGCAATTACGCTCCAAGCTGGCAACCAACAACTGAGATTCAGCAATTACGCTCCAAGCTCGCAACCAACGAGCAGGAGCTCGCTGCCCAAGAGCAAGAGCTGCAACAACTTCGCTCTGATCTCGCTGTCAAGGATCAAATGCTCGCAACCAACGAGCAGGAGCTCGCTGCCCAAGAGCAAGAGCTGCAACAACTTCGCTCTGATCTCGCTGTCAAGGATCAAATGCTCGCTACCAACGAGCAAGAACTCGCTACCAACCTCCAGGACCTGCAGCAACTTCGCTCGGAGCTCGCTGCCAAGGATCATGAACTCAAGGCAGCTCTTGATCGGATTGATGTTTTCGAGCGCAATCAGCCCGCTGTTGGATCCGCATCGAATTTTGACGGCACCATCTTGCAAGTTCCTCTCGCAACTCTTGTCGCCGCCACGAACAATTTTGATGCCGATTCTCTGCTCGGCACAGGAGCGTTTAGTCGCGTGTACGGCGCCACCTTGCCTGGCCCTCGTGTTGCCATTAAGCGCGTGTCGGCTGAATCCATCCACAACTATGTCGCATTTCAATCAGAATTGGACACTCTGTCTCAGTTCCGTCACCCTAACATTATTGCGATTCTGTCTTATGCCAACAGTCACGATGAGTATTGCTTGGTGTACGAGTTTATGCCCAATGGTTCTGTTCGCGATCGCTTGGATTGCAAGAACAACACACCTCCACTGACCTGGGCCCAGCGTCATCGCATTGCGGCTGATGTGTCCCGCGGCATGCACTACGTGCAAACAGCCTTCCCTGACCATGTTCTGTTCCACCTTGATCTCAAACCGGACAATGTTCTTTTGGACGCGCACTTTAACGCCAAAGTGTCTGATTTTGGTCTCGTTCGCGCTGCCCAACACCTCGATGAGAAGAGCTACGTTCGTACGCAGAACGTTCAGGGCACAAAGGTGTACATGTGTCCCGAGTATCTTGAGTCAGGCCGAATGACTATCAAGACGGATGTCTACGCCTTTGGCATGATTCTACTGGAATTGGTCACTGCAGCCAAACCCGGTATTCTGCTGAAAAGAACTGCGCGAAAGGCTGCGAACAACCAAAAATGCATTGAGATGCTGGACTCGGCTCTCCACCCAACCGAAGCCGAGGGCCAGAGCGTCGGCGAGCTTGTCAACCTTGCACTCAAGTGTCTTGACGACTTTGCAGCTGATCGCCCATCCTTTGGCAGTATCGTTGTGACATTGGATCCTTGATGACAAGCGGAAGATGTCGTTTGTTATGGATGTTGCAGTGTCTTCTTTTGCAGGTGTTGGTGTAAACCTGTCTTGCTGGTTCAAATTGAATGCGGACTCGAAATCCTTGATGCTGTTCCAATAGAGAGAACCCTCCTACAATGGGACAAAAAATGGAGACCACCCTGCATCTAGCTCTCTTCATATTCTTGTTCAATATTATTAATATAGACGATGTGCAAAAAATGGCGGCGGTCGGAGCAATATGAAATTTTGACTTTGCATTGACCTTTGGCTGGGCGCGAAAAATCTTGTCCCATTGTAGGAGGGACAACCTCCGCAGCACTCCCGGCACCTTCCCGCCCGCCCCCGACAGTGGACATGCAGCGAAGATGCAAAGAAAATCGATATTATCCGTATTGGTGGACGATAGGGTCATGTTGTGCGTACTTATGGCCGGGAGTGTGCGCGGGTTCGAATCGGGACAAAGAATTATCGTCGTTTAATCAACCCGACAACAATAACATACATCAAATTGCATATAAAGCCATACATGTAACACATTTAGTTCGAATTGGAGAGGTCAGATAGCGCGAGTCGCTTCCGGCGATCGGTTTTCGGCGTGGACGACACATTTTCATCGGTTGACACAAGCTGCATCGCCGCCATGTCGTTTGTCAGCCAGCTGCTCACGCCACTTGTGTTGGCACGACTGAGTGTCATACCTGGAGGCAAAATGAGCCGCGATGAGCTGCGAGTAGCAAGACGGGGTTCCTTCAGCCGCTCGAGAGATCTTGACGACAGCGAATAGGTCACATTCTCGTCCGACCCGCCACTCTGGGCTGTTTCAAATGATGGAGCGGCCTCGTCGTCAGAGTCTCTTTCATAGATTCTCTTCCTGGAGCGCGCTGGAGCGGCAGAAGTCACCTGCATTGGCGACGGCGGAATGCCGTCCTCTTCGCATTCGTCGTCAGAGTCGTCCTGCTCAACCGCCATCGTCGCAACCGATTGCAAAGCCGGTGCCGCAGCTGCTGCTTTCGAGGCGGCAAGCGCGCGGACGTGTCGGACGTCGGGGCGCTTGGGTTTTGCGGCGACCATTTGCTTCACGGTCGCGTTGACTTTAGCGAGCCTCTGCTGGTTCGCGTGAAGTTGCGCACGCACGTCTGCAACCAGAGCGGCTGCCGAGTCGTCTGCCTCGAGTTCTGCGAGCCGGGTCTGGTCGGCAGCGATCGTCGACTTGAGTTGGTCCTGCTGATTCATGAAGGGCTCGATTTTGTCTTCGTAGGTCCTCATCGCTCGTTTGTACTCCTCCATGAGAGGCGCAACCTGAGCCTTTTCTTGTTCCCGAGCTTCTCGCTCGTGTTGGGTAGCACGCTGTGCCGCATCTTGGGGCGAGTAGGCCTTGTTCGGCTTGACGGTTCGGACAGTGGCAGGCTCGGTGCAGCTCAACGACGGTGTCAGCGGGGGCGCTCGCAGCAACTCCTCGAATGTGAGAAGCGATGGAATCTGTAGCAGGGTGCGCACATCACTCACGAAAGCGTCAAGGAGGCGCTGAGTTTCCGGACGCAGCTGAAAATCCGCCCAGGCTCGGCCCACAGCTTCCCTCCAGACTTGTCGCAAAGCTCCTGCAGGCGCTCAAAGAAGCTTCTGAGGGTTTCCTCGTTCATCGCGGCCGTACGAATGGTTTCGATCGAGTGTGCAGTGATCCAGCGGAGTTCGTCGGAAAACTCGGCGAAAAACCGCTCCAAAAACGACTCGCTCGGGCCGTTGGGACCGAACTGGCGGCGAGGCTTTCCATCTGGTCGTGGAACTTGAGACAGGCGCATGAAGAGTTCGATTGTATTGGGTTTGGTGAGGGCGACGTGAGCAAATGCGCTCCGAACAAAAAGGTAGTTAACGATCTTGAGCTCCTCCGACCGGAGGAAGACGCTGCGGTCCCCCGAGATGGCGTCATCCTGAACTAGATCAACTGCCTGATCGAGGGTAGAACGGGCGAAGAGATCGGCTTGATGGCGGTGATGCGCGATCCATTTGCCGACAGTAGATCGCGGGACCTCGAAAATCGCCTCCAGCTGCCTGATGGTCGGTTTCGTCTCCTTGGCTCCCGCGCCACCTGGTCCACTGATGTCAGCACAAGGTGTAAAGTAGGTTTTCAGCACGGCGGCCTTGAAAAAGCGAGGAGAGTCGGCGTCCTTGGCCTGTCTAGCCTCCCGCAGCAGGTCGAAGGCCCGCTCGTTCCGCGGACTGACGACTCCGCCCGGTGTGCCCAGTGGGTTCATCAGATGCTATTTAGTGGATATCCGCAAGGAGGGGGTAGCAGAACAAGACTCAGAGCCCAAGAACGCCTCTGTCCCGTTGTAGGAGGGCGACAAAAATCAAAATGACTGGAAATGCATTATGTCCCATTGTAGGAGGGTTCTCTCTAGACTACTGCAGATCGACATTTTCTCACTCATTATTTTTTGTCTTAGACTTGATTGTATTTCTTTGATTCTTTGATTCTTTGCCATCCTCACAAACATGGACATTCAGGCTGCTCGAATGGACGATGGCAGCATTGAGCTTGACTTTGCACTGCCATCGAGCGACAGCGCTTCCTCTGCTTCAGCCGGTCTGTCTGGCGGCGCCCTCGACCCGGCTGCCGTGGCGCCATCGCCCTACGCAGCCATGGCAGCAGCATCGGCCGCAGCAGCCGCAGCCGCAGCCATCTTTGTTCCACGCGAGCCCGTCGCTTGCTCCATGTGCGGATCGCCAGCAGCCAGCTACCGGTGAGTCCAAGCGCCCCAGCTCCGGCTGCAGCTCAGCCATCTCTGTCTCAAGTTCCAAGTAGTCCATCTCTCCAACTTGATACCGGCGTCGTAGCGCTCACTCGTGCGGGGCGGGGGGAGGGGCGCAACGGCAAACCGACGGCCTCAAATCTGTGCGGTTTGGCGGTTTGGATGAGATTGAAAGTTTCTCAGACAACAGCAAAACACTTGATTGTTGCTGTTGGTTGACGATGGAACGAGGTTGACAAGTTTCTCGGACAACTACAATCACACAGCTTTTGGCCCTGATCGACGAATTCTGTCACAAGCAACCTTTCGCCAACAATCTCAGACACAACTTTGAATGGTGTTACGTGGCGCAGGCTGACTCAGCTTCTAACAATTGCATTTCGCGTGTCACTGGAATAATAGGTGTCCGGCGTGTGCACGAGCGACATGCAGCGTCGCGTGCGTTCGGAAACACAAGCAAGATTTCGATTGTGATGGCGTTCGCGTTCGATCGTCCTTTGTCGAGCTGTCGAACATGACTGATGATACGATGGCTGAAGGTACTTGAAACGCTCATGAAATGGGTGACACGAGAGTGCTTTGTGATTGCGTTGACACTTCATTTTGACATTCTGATTCATGTTCCTCCTCAGACGTCAGGTTACTCGAAGATGCGCAACGCACGGCAATGGCCGCAAAGCGAGAAACCATCCAACCGCGGCCCAATCCAAATGCATTGCCTTCTACCGTGAATGCGCTTCGTCGCGCGGCTCTTGAGCGGCAAATTCGTGTTATTTTCCTGCCTGCTGGATTGCAGCGGCGAAGAGACAACACTTCATTTGTGAATGCGCGGTAAGTTGAGCGAAGTGGCACTGTTGCTGGTTGGCGAGCGTTGATCTGGCTCACTTGCAACCTCTGCGCGCGATGCTTTGCAGCAAAAAACAAATCCAATGGCGCGTAGAGTGGCTCATTTCAATCGGGAATATTGTTCCGCTGCGGTATTTTGAGGATCAGTACGTGAGCGCGGGTTTTGATGCTTGTTTAGCATCGAAGCGAATTTCTGACTTGGGTGATCATGTTGTCTCCCCCCCTGTCTCCCCCTGTCTCCCCCCAATCTCTAGTGTTTCAGAAAACTTGCCCCTTGCAAGCATCGCCTCAAGACTCCTTGCAGGACGAACCATCAAAGACGAGATTCTCCGAGAACGAATTGCAACGGCAATGGCAGTCTTGCCAGCAGCTGCCCAACCAAGCTCGACCGAAGTGCCAGCTGAATCGCTTGTCGGCTTTAGCATTCTTTTCAAACCAGACGGGCAACCCGCCAACGCAGCTCGCTATTATCGCTTCCCAGACCTGTCCTTGTCCTTGCGTCTCGCCCTGGCGGGGCTGACCATTTTGGAGCACCCAACATTGTATTTAGTGGCTGATCAAGCGTTGGATCGCTTCAATCTGTTATCGTCCCGCGAAGAGCTCGTGCAGATGTGTAACAGTGCCAACTCGCCCATTAATCAGCTGGCGATGGTAGACGCGCGACAACATACGCGCAGTGGCAAGCGCGAAGGCGATCGCTCATCTCGCGACAAGCGCACTCTCAACTCTGCCCCCTCACACCCTCTTATTCAGGAGCTGCCCGATCCTTCAAGTGAAGGCCTAGCCGTTGTCGACGCAGGGCTGCTGCCGACTCCTTTGCTAGATGCCACTCCTCATCCGGAAGCCACCATGGTTCCAAACTCCCCCGGAGGCGACTACGACGAGGAAGACGACGGCGATGCCTTTGATCAAAGCGATCGCTCGGTTGCGCCAATCAGCCACGCCGACATTGCAATGGAAACACGAGGAGCAGTCTCGCATCCACCTTCATCGACAGCGACTGGGGGAAATCATGCTCTGAAGATGCTCGACTATGCTAGCAGCGGCGATGATGATGATGATGAAGGCGATGATGTGAACCACCAATAGTTTTGTCAAAATTACAAGACTAGGCAATCACTTTTGGTCCAAGGTTTCGAAATACTTTTGCAGCAAACCAAGAGCCTGGCTGCGGTGGGAGATGCGGTTTTTGATTGCCTTGTCCAGTTCTGCGTACGTTTCATTGTATCCATCGGGTTGGAACACGGGGTCCCTACAGTGCAGCAAACCAGCCACAGGTTTTTGTCAGTCACTGTTGTCAAAATAAACCCTGCAGCTCGACTCGCGCTCCGCTAAACAAAACACAATACCAACAGACGAAAACAAAAAAAAGACGCCACTTACCAACCAAAGTCAAGCGGGCCGCGCGCAGGAACAATCCGACCCTGTCGACCACAGAATCAAAGCAAAATGTAGTTTCAGTGAACAGCATTTCTTGGGGACAAGAGCAGGTTCAAACTCCAAGCACGGAGCAACACGCACATTGTTACGGCCTTCAAAAACGATGGGCTCGCTTCCGGGACCTGCAGAGTACGCGAATGTGCACAGCGAGTATGCCGACTTGTCCGGGTATGCAGCAATCAAATTGTTCAAGCCTGAACAGCAAAGCGAAATCAAAAAAAGTGAAACATTCTGCGCCAGTCTACAGGACTTCCAACAGTGTAAAGTGGTATCATCCCAGCCGCTGAGATGGGACAAACGGGTTTGGATCGAGGTGCGTAATCCAAAATCGTTTCCTGTCCATCATTCACAATGCAACTCGTGATGTACATCGAGTTTTTCTTGTGTGTTTGTTTACCTTCGTGTCCCAGCTTGTCGAGGAACCACTTGATGTATGGCCCAGGCAGCCCCTTGAGCGCATTGAAGCAGAGGCAGGTGTCTTCGGTGATGACGGGACCGCCGACCTGCGCAGCCGCAAGACGGCACTTTTCGCGTGCAATGTCATTCGGCTCGCCTTGGAGCTCGGGCACTGGGCAAATCGGAGCGGAAGGTGTGTGTTTGTACGGCGTGAGAGTGAGCCGCAATGGTAAATCCATACTCTTTCTCTCTCTTTCTTTCTCTCTCGATCTTGGTCGTTCATCCTGCTTTCAATACGGATTGTTTTTTGTTTGTTTTGGGTTTTACAATCAATCTTGCGGTTGATGACTTCGACAGACCCAGCGAGAATCGCGCGGACCTCGTCGAGCTTCTTCATGTTGCCAGTCACAAACACGACCGTTCTGAGCGCCGACATGGTAAAAGATTGAAATGAATGGACGACTGCGTTGTCTACTGAATACATGTATGGATGGATGGATGGCTTTTTCATTTGAGAATACACATGCTTATTTTGAGCTCACTGGAGCAAGGTCAAGACAGGGACGAGTGGAAAAGGGAAGAGGGAACAGGGCATCTCAGTTCCTTATCACTCACCACAGCGATTCTTACTGCACAATCCGTTTCGCCTCCGTTTTCTTTGCATGTTTCCAAGTGTCAGTCATTCAAGTCGTATTCAATAGTGATATCTCAGATTCTGCTCATTTATTTTTTTGTTCTATTGCAATGCATTTCCGCTCTTCTTCTTCTTCTTTGTTGAGTGCAGCTTGTGTTGTGATTGCAGTCGCTGCTTTTGCAGTGCGCTCTGCCGACGCGTGGGGCGCCCAGGGCCACCAAATCACAGCAGCCATTGCCCAGGTAACACACCCCTTCTTCATGAGCGCCAGAGCGAGACAGAGCCAGACAGACAGCGAGCAATGTGGAGCCACTTCTTGCCCTTCCTTCCTTCCTTTCCTTCTTCACTGTTCACTCTCAACCTCCGAACTTCACAACACTCGAACTATCAATGTAAAAACTCACCTGTAACACCTGTTTGTGTTTGTTGGAAACCAAATAGGCGCTGCTGACCCCGGAAGCGAACAACTATGTCATTCGTATGCTGCCGACTTCGGACAACAAGTCGCTCGCCGTCGCATCCACTTGGGCGGACGACGTAAGACCCCAAAAAACAAACGCTTCTATGCGTGAATACTTAGAAGGAGGGGGGGGGAAAATTGGGAGTGGGAATCAACTTCCCAAGGCTTTTGCAATGGAGCTGCACTCACAATGTCGTGTCGTGATCACTCTAGATTAAGAACCAGGCGCAGTGGAAGTGGACCCAACCCCTGCACTTCATTGATACGTAAGTCATTGATGAATGAAAGCATTGCGTTGGTCCCTTATTGACGTTTTTTTTTTTTTGTTTGTCTATCTGTTCGCTGTGTGTGTCGCAGCCCTGATTTTGCCTGCAATTACAACTACAACCGCGACTGCATTGACGTCGGCACTGGCACCAAGGACGCATGCGTTGCCGGCGCAATCAACAACTACACGGGCATTCTCGTGAACGCTGGGCCCAAGGACGTGAGCGAGCTGCTCCAGGATTCCCTCAAGTTTGTCGATCACTTCATCGGTGACATTCACCAGCCCCTGCACGTCGGCTTCACTTCCGATCTCGGTGGCAACACGATTGAAGTGAACTACAACGGCGTTAATGTCAACCTGCACGCTGTACGTTCGTTGTTTGCGATCGGTTGTCGTTGCTGGTTGCGATTGTGTTTGTTTTCAGTCCGCTCATCCTTGTGTGCGTGTTTGCGTTCTGTCTCTTGCTTTATGCTTGTCTAGTTCTGGGATTACTCTGCCATCTCCAACCGCATTGATGTTGATTTCAACGGCGATCAGGTTTGTGCTTTTTCCCTCGTCTTTTTGTTTGCCTGTCGCTCGCTCCAATGACTCACTGCGTTTCCATCACATGCTTGTGTTTCTGGCTTTAGAACGCTTATGTCAACTACCTGCTTCAAAAAATCCACTCTGGCTGGGGTGGTTATGTGGCCATGTGGAACAACAGCTGCAACGCTGTTGCTTGCCCTGGTACGCCTTCTTCATGTGCTCTTGCAATCACCTTTTGAGATGCCACATTGAGTTGCTGAGCTGTTCTGTATGCCCCCCCACTTCCCACCATTCATTCACGTAGATATCTGGGCCACCGAGTCGGTCATTTTCGCGTGCAATTCCTCGTACGCCGACATCAACCGCAACATCACTACTGTCATTACTGTACGAGTTTGTTTTCTTTGTCTTTCTCTTCTCTCGCATTCCTAGCTCTCGACGGTTGCTCTTTTTTTTTTTTTTTTTTTTTTTTTTGCACGTCCTGGTCTCTGACTGACGCGTCCTCTGACGCTCTGTCTCGAAATTCTTGTCATCATCACAGACCGCCTACTACAATCGTGCCATCGATGTCATTGAGCAGCGTCTTGCTGCCGGCGGCATTCGTCTCGGTGCCTCCCTCAACCGAGTTGCCATGTCGGTGAACGACACTGCCAACAACGCGATGGTTGGCGCCGTCATCGGCTCTGTGCTTGGCGCTGTCGTTCTTGTGATTGTCGCCGCGCTCGTCGTGGCTGCCTTGCGCAAGCGTCGTGGACGCACTGGCTACACGACCATTTGAGCGGTTTGTTTTTGATCCTTGCTTTTTTGTTTGCTTGACTTGTTAAACCCAAAATGCACGTTTGTGGCATTTTCGTTCCTTTGGAGCTCGTTCACTTTTCGAATCATCACCAGATTGAATTTGCTCTCCTTTTGCTTTGCTTTTCCAACCCTTTCTTCTCGTTTTTCTGGTTTGTCTTAGCATTCGTTTTTGAAACAAAATCCTTTGTTGTTTGTTTGTCCCGCTTCAGAAATCCCATCATCCCACTCTTTATTATTCTTCTTCTTAGAATCATTTCCTACATTTATCACAATCAATCACCGCAGCAAGTCCTCCCCTATTGTCTTGGCGGGGGGGGGGGTGCTCGCGTTCAGTCTTGGCTAACTTTTTCGTTTTGACTTCAGCTTCGGCTTCACAGTTCACAGTTCGATCGCCATCACGATTTTTTGAAACATGTCCAGTAGTGCTGCGTGTGGCAGACTCATGCACCAGACTCGCAGGCTGATGCTGCTCTGCGCGGGTCCAAGTCGCAGTCGTAGCCTTAATGCTGCTGCTGCTGCTGCTGCTGCTGCTGCTGCTGTCAATCTGCGACCTTCCTTCTCGCTCGCTCAAGGCCACGCTCGCATTCAGAGCTACTCATCCTCAGCACAGTCCAAGACGAACGCAGGGAATGCCAAGAGCAGCGCAGGCTCTGCAGCTGTGGGCCAAGCACCGCCCAGATCGAGCGGCAAGCAGCTTGTCTTTCTGCACCGCTTGGCGGAGAAGCAGGCAATGACGTCGATTACGAATGACAGTTCGAGCATTACGTTTCAAGACCTGATCAAGCCCAGGGAATTGCGGAGAGCACTGTTCTCGTCCTACGAGGCCGACACGGATTGGTTTGTGCAGCAGCTCGCACCAATGGTGCGGTCCCGCGGAGCAAGCGTTCAGTTGTTTGTTAGCAGCTCACCCACCGGCCGTGGCAATACTGCCCTGAGCCCAAACATTAACATGACGCCGCTCACCATAGGAAAAACCAGCGGTCGCTTGCACGGGCGGCTCATGTTATTGTTTCACGGCAGCGACACTTTGCGCGTTGCCGTCACCAGCGCGAGCTTGGTCCCATCCGACTGGGGTGTGTTGGAGAACGTGACCTACTACCAAGACTTTCCGATCGAGGCGAAACGCCCAACCGTGACGGAACGCGGTCTCGCATTCCAAAGTACACTGATGAACTACGTGACACAGCTGGTCGCGCACCAGCCGAAGGATGATGATGTGGACGACCGTCACCCGGCGCGCGCTGCTCGCATTCTGAAAGAGCTCAAGACGGTGAACTTTGACACTGTCGAGGTAGAGAGGGTGTTTTCGTTTTTGAGCAAGTGCTTGATGTGTTCTGGTTCTGGCTGAGATTCGCTCACGCATTCGCCATCTTGAACTGGACTGCCGCCATCTTTTGCAGGCGAGGCTGATTTCATCCTATCCCGAGCATTCGAATCTTGAGACGAATGGATGCCGACAAGGATTGATGGCTTTAGAGCAAGCATTGCAAGCGGAATATTCCACCCTACCCGCTCAAGTCCTTAACTCTCCCATCATTTATCAAGTAGATTGAGCTGATTCGCTTGTTGTCGTTTCTGAGCTGGTGGTGCTGTTGGTGGCTGGTGGACATTGAGCGCCTCACTATTCGTCTTTTTGAAATTTGGCAGTCGTCTTCAATCGGGCAAGTCTCCGATCCATGGGTGACGCAATTTGCGACAGCATGTAACGCTGGTGCACCAGCTCGCATTTCTGGCGAATCTCGTGGCAGTCCTTTCGCGATAGATCCCGCAGATGCGCTCAAGTTGCAATTTATCTTCCCAACCACTGCAACCGTCTCGCAAGCTCTTCAAGGGTTTCCGGTAACGAGTCTTTGTCGTTGTTGCTGTCTCGCTTCTGAGTTTCTTTTTGCACGCCTGATAGTTGCATGGAGTTCTCACTGTTCGCTCTTGCGCATTTTGGATAGGAGGGACATCCCCACCGACTGCACTTTTTCCCACGATATTTCAGCTCAACATTCCCTCGTGGTTCCCTGTTCGACTATCAAAGCAAGCACGGAAACGTTTTGCCAAATTCCAAAGTGAGGAACTGGTTGCGATTTGTCGTTTTGTTTTTTTGGTGCAGTAAGACGTCAAACTCAGCAAAAACAAACGTCTCCGACCGGGTTGGAACAGGTTCTGCTGCGTGTTCCAGACGAGCAAAGTACAATCGGCTACGCAGTCATCGGAAGCCACTCCTTGGGCATTGGATCATGGGGCAATGGAGCTGTATCGAGTGACTCCAAGTTGGGCGCAAAGGCCACTTCCAAGCCACGGATGATGCGAAACTTTGAGCTGAGTGTACTGATTCCTGGAACAGAGAGTGATCAAGTACCACTGCTCAAGCGAGTGGCAGTTCCATTCTGCTTGCCGGCCCGTCCATACTCGGCATCCGAACATCCGTTCTTGGTAAGATTGCACGATGCTTTGGTGAGTGCTTGTTGGGTCAACTATACTGCAGGTTCTCATGGTTATTTGTTTTATTGCAGTGGTTGCTTTCACACAAGGAGCTGCTAGACGAATAGCCCACTACTGCTGCCGATCAAGTCCAAGGGTAAAAGTTTGGGAAGAGTAGGCAGCCCAGCATCGAGTACAGGACAAAATACGCCACAAGAGCGATGGCTTGAAGACCGGGAATGCCAGTTGGATGTGCCATGACTGAGTGCGTGGTGTTTTTTGTGTTGTTCGTGCGGAGTTTGATTGGTTGCACAATGTTTGCTGCTCCAAAGAAGATTGCCGGGCAACTGGCGCATAAGAACCGAGTCAAGACCTGCATAGAAAGTAATGTTAGAGACGCATTGAGGAACGAAAGGCAGCGCGCAAAACAAACAAACAAAAACCAAGCAAAGCAACAACTGTCCAACCTGCACATTCATGAACAACAAACCAAGTAGACTCATAGCCATCAACTGCACAATATATGGGAATGTGGCCGAGTTCCAAATGCAGTGTGCGAACTGAAACGTCCGGCCTTGAAGAACAAAATCCCGCAATCGACCCTCCGCAAGCGTAGTAAGTGCAAAGTTGCCCACCGTTGCAAACGCAAGCACAAGGATTGGTAGAGCCAACACAAAGTTTGGCACTTGCTTGAGCTCGTAGTATCTCAAAAACCCGTTATTCCTGTTCAAAGAACAAAAGTGAGGCCAAAGCGGAATCGAACAGCATGACAAATTAAAGTCTCGCGTGCTCATACCAGTAGTGCTCTTGAACAAAACTGTAAATGAAAGGCAGGGATTGACTACACCAGGGACGCGTAGCTTCGGGGCTTGTGCAAAACTCATGGTAGGAGCGATACTGCCACCACAGAAACGGCCCTACGGCAAAAGTCACATAAAAGCAGGCAAGGAGGAGATTACCCAGCACGAGTCGAACACGACGCCGCTGGGGTTGGTAGAGCAGGTTGTGACGAAGTTGCGAGACGAGCAGGAACAACGGGAGCGCGACGGAGACCATGCCATTGCCCCGATTGAGGGACGAGAGTGCCAAGGTGATTGCGCAAGTCCCATGCCACAACCATGCTCGCCTGCTTTGCACAGGATTGAAAGCGCGCTCGGCAAAGTAAAAGGCCCAAAACGTAAGAGCGGCAAACAAGCTCTCCGTGTAGGCAGCCGAGAAGAAGATGTTTGCGGGATTGAGCATAAACAGCGCAGCCACGATTCCGGCATGCCTGTCAGTGTTGAGCACGCGTTTTGACAGAAGAAACAGTCCGATTGTGGCGATAACAAAGCAGACATTCGAGACGAAAGCTGCCGCGATCAGCAAAGATCTGTAATCGGAACGGTGAAACCAGGTGCAAAAAGTGTGAATTTCAACATGAAAAGACCTGTGAGACAATGGCAAAACGGCCAACAGAGTATGCCTTACGACGCTGATCCACCCAACATCCATCCAACAGCATGGACGATCGCCGGGTAGAGTGGAAAGAAGGCTGAAATTTGCTCAAATTCGTATTCTTGCATTTGCGCAATTCGCAGCATGTAAACGCCATCCCATCTTGCCAGGCCACCCAGTGCCGCCTGGACTTCTGGCCGTGATTGATTTCTGCCAAGCAAATTCACAAAAATGATGAATGTGAGGTACTAGAGTTGAGTGGGACCTCGGTAACTCGGTTGGCTTGGCAGACGACTGGCTACAGCTTTGGTCCGCTTGACCCCGCCGCCCTGCCATTCTTGTCTGGGCCTGCATCCCAAGCGCACTTCAACCTACACTACTCCAATGGGACCCGACGTGTCGTAGTCCTCGATTGCCGCGTTGAGTGCTGCTTGAGCCGCCAGAATGACAATTCTAGTCAGTCAGTCAGTCAGTCAGTCAGTCAGTCAGACGACCTCACAAACTCCATCACCATTGGAAATCTGAAGGTATAGGAGGTCCCAACCTGGACGCAGTGGCCAGCGATGCCACTTTGGCCGCATCAGCAGCCATCTGCGAATGCAAGAACGCAGCGTAAATCGCAATAGAAACTGAGCGTGGCCATTTTCAGCCGACCCTCCTGTCTGAGACGCCTCTCTTTTGATTGACTTTGTTTTTCATTTTCCAATGCTTTCGTTGAAGCGCACTCTTTTTTTTTTTTTTTGATTCTCGTTGGTCTTATTCAAATCATGTCTGCACAAGATACCGAGTTGACTGCGGCGTGGGCGTCCATTCGCTGCGGCTTCCTGACCCAGGAGCAGCCCGAGCTCATTGTTGTCGACGCAGACTCGCAGATCGTCTCTGCCTGCAAGGTGACGAAATCCCCCATTCACCAAACTCTCAAACGACCACCCATACGACGACCAAACTCTCAAACGAACGTCTGAATGAATCATGTTGGATTGGGGTTTTTGCATTGGGTTTTGTATGGAGTGCTTTTTTTCCATTGGGTTTTGTATGGGACTTTTTTTTTTTTTTTTTTTTCGCACTTAGTCTTTGGACCTTTTTGCGCTCTTGTCGCTCCCCTCCACCACCACCACCCCTCTCTCGTACCCCCTTTCGCTATCCATTCTTGTCGCTTTGTCCTTTTTGGTCTGGTCTTCCATTGAGGTTCAGATGGGGTCGAGTCGCTGTGGCTTCTCGTTCTTGTTCTCGTTCTTCTTCTTCATCGTCGCGTTGAGTGCCGGCTCAGCGTTTCTGTCAGCAAACGCCAGCATCGCTTCGTTCGCTCTCTCTCTCTTTCTCGTTTCCATCATCCACTCATCCACTCAATCACCAGCCAGCCAAAGCGCCGTTCCTGAACAAAACGTCCCACCATCTTTTTTTTTTTTTTTTTTTTTCCCCCTTTTCTCTCGTTCGCTTGTGACTCGCGTTCGCGGCCCACTTCCGTTGCGTTTCCTCCCCTCATCTTGAACATGAGTGCATCGCTGGTCCTCCACGTTCTGTGCCACCACCACAGCGACGAGCGCGAAGCGACGGAAGAACGTCAACAAAGAAAAACAAAGGGCAGTGTTTTTTTTTTTTTAAATCCATACAAAAACCATTGCTCAATGCTGCTTTTTCTGAGTTTCTTGTCTTGTCTGAGATTTTCGCATAAAACTGACTTGGAAACTCTGAATGTTTTTTCTTGTTGTTTTCCAGACACTCGCCGACAATGGCATCTCGTCCGCACCCGTGTTTGACAGCGCAAAGAACTCGTACTTGGGCATGCTCGAGTACGCCGATCTCGTTGCGCTTGTCCTTGCTGCCAAGCAGCGCTCTCACCTGCCCGAAGGCAACGAGAGCCTCGAGAATTACATCTCGCAAGGCGGCCAGTTCCAAGTTGCCGTCCGTCACGCCGTTGGTACGTGTAACTGGGTGTCCGTTTGTGTTTGTCCCATCCCTTTGTCCGGCCCCTTGACATGCATCGCCAACCCACACTGAAAAAACGACTCTTAAAAACCTTCCTCTTGTTTGCAGACATTTCCGAGCGCAACCCTTTCTACTCGCTCTTCCCCGAGTCCACCCTCCTGAACGCGGTCCAGGTGTTTAGCTCTGGCGCTGTTCGTCGCATTGTTGTCATGTCTGGTGATGGCAAGCTGCACGGCATCATCTCGCAGACGACTGTTCTGCGCTTTGTCCACGACCACCTTCTGAGCCAAATGGACGGCATCGTTCGCCAAACTGTGAGTTGGTGTTGTTTTTTCGTTTTTTTTTTTTTTTTGTTTTCATTGTGAATCGACGAATACTCTTTTGCTCACACATCTTTTGAACGATGCGGATTGCTGTTTGAACAACACCTCCACCCCCAACTTTCACAGCTCGAGCAACTCAACATTGGATCGCAGCCCGTGGTCCAGCTCAATGGCAACGCCCCTGTTATTGACGCTCTCGAGCTCATGCACACCCACAAGTTCTCGAGCGTCGCCCTTGTCGAGTCGGACGGCACCATTTCTGGCAACATTTCTCTGTCGGACGTCAAGCTGCTCTTCCGCAAGCGAAGCCTTGGTCTGCTCAGCCACTCGTGCCGCACTTACGTTGCCACCATCCGACAGGAGGAGATCCGACATGCTTCCCCCGAGCACCCCGAGGCCTCGACCGCCAAATGGCCCTACTGGAGCGTGCCCGTGACGGCCACCTTGCACTCGGTCATTCTCAAGATGGTTGCCACCCGCTCCCACCACATCTTTGTGATTGACGCCCACAAGCGACCCATCCGCATTGTTTCTGTCGGCGACGTTTTGCGCGCACTTACTCCCCGCGAGTAATTTTGTGACGCCCGCCCACACACAAATAAGAGTGGCAAAGAAACGCGAGTTGCTCGTGTGCGAATCGTAACGTTGTCAGTTGCTTGGTTGTTATTTGTTTCCGTGCTCCGACCCTCGGTTAGAATGGACTTATGAAGGCTTGCACAAAAAAAGCTTGTTTGGTCTACAGTAGCTTCCAGACTGTACTTTGTTGTACAAAAAAAAAAAAAAAAAAAACGCAACATGCAAACAACAACAACAACGAAACATAACGGACGAAGAATTTTTTAAACGAATTCGAGCGTAATGGATGTCACAAAGAAGGCAGTGTACAAGACCAGCAGATAAATGCCATACTTGCGGCCAACACCGAATCTGTAGACACCGGAAAAAGAAAGGGCAAAGCAGGGAAGAATGGTTAGACGTTACTGCAAGACGGTTCCTCTCTCCTTGTGGCAACCACACAAACCACGTCAAGCCATACCCGTTCAATGGCACGTAAATCAGGGAGGAGATGAGCGAGCCGAGGAAGAACAAACCGGATGCAAGCATGTGACTTGACATCTCAAACGGATAGGGATCTTCAATGGTGGTACATGCCACGATACTTGCAAGACCAATACCAAGAAGCATATCTGGAGCGAGAACAAAACGAAGGAACAGCGACGCACACAGACGAGGTTTAGAAAAAGAAAAATCGAAACAAAACAAAACAAAACCAAAACAAAACCCCAAAAGAAACAAGAAGCCGAACGAGCGCTTACTTTGCAGAGGCGCACCATAACATGCCGAAACGGCCATATTAGGGAAGCCAAATCGAGCAACAGTAATGTTGGCAACGAAATCTATCATGCAGAAATGGTAGTGAGTGCCGCGAAATACCCCAAACATCAAAGGGGTTTGAGAGTCGCCCTGTCACGCCAATGCCAATGTGCCTTACCGCCGATACTGTTGCCCAGTGCAAGCACCGTCAGACCGAGAAGGGCATCACTGAGAGTGAGCACTCGACCGAATGTCTCGAGCAAGTCGACAATCTCGTTTGCGGTCGCGTAAATCCAGACCACCGCCACTGCAAAGCCAACAAAAGCAAATGCCTAGTTGACAAAAGCAACATCCAAACACGAGACGAAATCGCAAGCAGATTGATTGTGAACAAGGGCGCACGGTTCTGCAGAAATCTATTCGTTTCAGCTGCTGCACTTACAGTGTGGTACTTGGGCGGGCGATCGTACTCGGAAGTGAAAAAGACAAGCGCAGAGAGAAGAACACCAGCGATGAGAGCGAGCATCCACACGGTGAAGCCGCCACCGAGTTCGGTTGCAAACACTGCAAACACGTCCAACAGAATGAAAGTCAGAACATCCTCAAAACGAAACGCGCAACAAGCAGCCCGCAAACTGGAGCAATAAAAGCAATGGAACGCACAATTGGTCAGCAGTACACCGACGATAGGCGCCAGCAAGCACTGGAGCACGTAGAGGTTCTTGTTCCAGTTGTGCATTTGCTCGTCCTTGTCAATGACAGGGCAGGTAGGATTGAGCATGACGTAAATCGGAATCTTGAAGATCTGGAAGGCCTTGTGGAACCAGCGGTCGTTTTCCCAGGCCTCAAGATCGACGGGCATCAGACCCCCAACAAGCGTCGGCAGTGTTGTCGAGAGGGTGCTTGCCAAGGATTGCTCATCACTCTCCGTTCGCATCAGAGGTGTGTGTTCTACAAAAAAGAAACGACGTGAATGAGCAAACACGTTCCACAAAGAGCAAAGAACGAACGACAAAACTCGTAAAAAAAAAAACAAACATGTTTGCTCCACAAAGAGCAAAGAACGAACGACAAAACTCGTAAAATAAATAGATTACCAGTACCATCCTTGACAAAGCTGGTTCGAGGTGTCTTGGCTTTGCCGGCAGGGACGCTGGAGAGCACTGGGTGACCCAAGAGCGAGGTGGTGAGGGCTTCTGAAGGGGAAAGCGCGGCTTCGATGCTGTGTTGGCCGGAAGGACGAGGCGAGGTGGTGCGAGAACGGCTGTGGTGGTTTTCAGTGACCTCCTTCATTGACTTTGAGCGAATGCTGCGAGAGATATGGCCGAGGAATCCATCAGCGTCCGGGTCAATCTCGTCAGTGGTGGGCGTGGTGGGAGTGGAGGGCATGTCGACCGGCTCAACAGAGATGGCAATCCCAGTCGAATTGATGCCGCCAGCAACAGAGACGTCACCAGAGACATCTGAATCGCGTGACTTGCGATCGGGCTTATCGACAACCTCGCCATTCGCTCGGGCTTCGGCCTCGCGCTTTAGCTTTCGCGCTTGGTAGAGTCGGCGACCAAAGACGACCGTGCAGACATAGATGGTATAGATGGCAATGAAGCATGCACCCTGCCACAAGTAGATCTTGCCTTGCCAGAGCAGCAGCAGGATCAGGGAGACGGTCACAATGTTGAACGAGACGTCGCGCAAGAACGGGCGCCGGGTGAGCTTGATGTGGCCCACAAGCGACACTGCGCCGACAAGGACGGTGGTGAGGAAGACACCAGCGCCTGAGCAGCCCAAAACAACAAACAAAACAAGTCAAGGACATCAGTAAACGGTGGTGGAGCACACAACACACACAATACAGACATGCACAACAACGTCAACCCTTTTACCAAAAAGCTCTCCGACGGCAAAACCTGCACCATCCTTTGCTGCAGTCAAGGCAGCAATGACACTGAAAATGTCGGGAGCGCCGTTGCCGAACGCAAGGAAGGTGACACCCGCGACGTTTTGACTGAGGTGGAGAAAGTCTGAAATGACCGTCAGGGCGGGGACAAAGTAATCTTGGGCCGTAACACCGAGCATGACGAACAAGAACGCGAGCCAGAACAGCAGGATGAACATGGCAGCGGGGAGCGGCATGACGCAGTACGGGAGTTCGAGGTAGTTGATGAATCCACCATCTGGTTGGCAGTCGTCCGTGTTCTTGACAAACCAGCACGAGTCGTTCTGCGATCCAATGTGTTCGCACTAACCGATTTGACCAAAGAGCAAAGTGAGTCAGGTCAGATCACAGTTCTTCTTCACAGTTGGGCAATCTGTCCCAAACGTCGGTCTTCTGCAGTTCCCAGTGCGACGATCATGAGTCCTTTTGCATGGCATTCCTTCTTCAATTGATTCTTCACCCCTTTTTGTCCGTCTCCTTCTCCCTCTCTCCCTCTCTCTCTCTCGCTGGACTCGGGTCATATGGCCTTTTAGGACAAATATCGAAAAAATTGAAAAAAATCGAAAAAACCAGCAAAATCTTCCAAATCCGATTTCGGCTTCGTTGCTGTTTTCCTCTTCTCTCTGCTTTGTGTGTGTGTGTGTGTGTGTGTGAGTGACTGGCGGACCATCAGCACAACGATCACGAAAAGATGAGATAAGCGATAAAGGAAAAAAACGTGCCGTCCGTCAAAAAAATGCTGGCAGCGATCATGTGGAGCGGGTTCGACTTGGCGTGCTGTGAGCCAAATCCGCGACGGACTGTGACTGTGGTGGAGGTGGCTGGGGTTTTGGTTTTGTGGTGGCATTTTGATCGCCCCTTCCCCGCCGCGACCGAGCACGCATCGAGCACTGTCCGACACTCGCAAAGGGGTGGCTGTGACTGCATCGAAGCACCTCGCTGCACTGCACAATCCGCGGGACGGACGGAAGGGCCCCAATGCGGTGGCGATCGGTCCCGTTGGAAAGCGAGGGACGCATTTGGATTGGTTTGCGATGGCGCTCTCCTCTTCCCTGTTCCCTCTTCTCCAATCGACCTTTCTCTCTCTTTCTCGCTCGCTCTCTCTCTACAACAAAGCTTCTTGTGTTTGTCCTTCGCGATGGTCAAGTTTGGCTCAATGGTGAGATTTGTTTTCAATCCGATCCGAAAAAAGAAAAAAAAATACAAAAATACAAAATACGAAAAAAAAAAAAAAATCGGACACGCGGTTTCAATGGAAAAACCATAGAAAAAAAAAAAAAAAAAAGGAAAAACAAACTCGCTTTTTTTTTTTTTTTTTTTTTTTTTGTTGGGATGTTTTTTTTTTCATCTTGTGATGCATGGAACAAAAAAAGTTCATCCGAGTCGAAGCGAGACGAAAATCAATGGACAAGGAGCGATGATAAAGCAGAAGAAACAATGATAGGAAGAAGAAAGGGAAAAAGAGGACGAAGAAGAAGGGAGAAATAGGAAAAAAAAAAAAAAAAAAAAAAAAGAGCGGCACTGCGACTGAAGGCAGGCGACTTTCCTCGTTTTCCCCTACTGCTGCCTGGAGCACAGCGGACTGGAGAGTCATAGAGCATTAAGGAGTAGACAAGCGAACACCATGATGGGGTGGTGGAATCGTGGCAGTGGAGTGGAAGCGACGAGAATGGACCTTCTCAGCTCAGCCACACGCCATCCTCCACCCCGCACACATGCAGCCACACGCACGCACCAAACAGACCACTCTCAGTGACCCAAAGCAAACAAAACAGAATAGAGCAAAGCCAAATGGTTCAAACTCACCTTTGTAGCGTTGTCGTCGTCGCTGTCGCCAAGCATGGGAGACCATGCAGGAGTGGTCAGCAGATGACGGGCGCTACTGCTGCTGCTGCTGCTGCCATCACTACTTGCGAGGCCACCAAACAGCGCCGAGGTGAGCGAGCCAGAGCGGTGCCCAGTGAAGCTGCGCAGTGCAAAGACCGCCATCAGCATCAGCACCATCACTTTGCCCAGACGCATGGTTTCGGAAGGCGAGGTGAGAAAGACGACAGGAAAAAAAAAAAAAAAAAAAAATACAGGAAGACTGAATCTCTAGAATGGAAATCTGAAGTCACAGTAGAATGGATGAGAAAGGGACCATGGATTGTGCACTTGAGAATAGAGCATAGAATGAAGGGGAGGGAGAGAGTGAGAGGGAGAGGGAGAGGGAGAGGTGGAGGGGGGGGGAGAGGGAAGGTGTAACAACTGAAGGCGAAACCTTGTCGCGACAATAATCCCATGCGATGAGTCCGGGTGGCTTGGGTGTGCTGGGGGGGGGTGGCTTGTGGAGTGACTGTGGAGTGACTGGAAACAGAAAGGGCAAGAAAAAAAAACGAAACAGATCAGATTCATGATCACAGAGTATCAAGTGAGCGGTCTCGCATTGTGTGGAAGCAGAAGAAGGCGAGATTGAAATCTCAGTTAGAGATGGCCCGCTTCCTCACGTCCTTCTCCTGTCGTCGTTGTTGTTGTTATTGCGGGAAGCAACTACAGAGCGGTATTCTGTTGAAATGAGCCGCGTTGCAGACCTACGTCTGATAGAGTTGCGAGCTGACCGTTCGTCACAACTGGGGTTTCGTTCGCTGTGCTTCACTCACACGCCCTCAACGCAAAAGTCAAAGTCACACTTCACTGACTTTATTCTAGTCATAGTCTCGTACCAGCTGCACCGATTCATCGTTGCGCTCCTTCACCATAATGGAAGTCCTTCAGTCAACTTTTTTTTTTGTTTTGGTTCTTCTCCGCCTGACTCTTTCCGCTCGTCCTCACCATCCCTCGCTCGCTAAAACAACACCCTCCTGACCATTCAAGCCAAAGCCATCAACCCCCTTCTCCCCATCCCCTACCAAGGCGGCTCGTTCCTTGTCTTAACTCTTTGACTCTTAACCCCTTTCGCGCTCTTTTCCCCTTCCTTTCCCACCACCAAATGCTGACGATGGGCATCCTCGCCGCCCCGAAGCCCGTGAAAGCCAGCAGCGCACACTCGCAGCCGCAGTCTCGGCAGCAATCGCCCTCGCCCAAGCTGCTCCAGCAGCCGCGGCCAGCGTCGGCAGCAGTGCTCATCCAGCCACAGCCATCCGCTGCTACAAACAGCAACAGCAACAGCGCCCGACCCCGCGTCCAGCCGCTCACTGTCTCGAATCCAGTCGCCGTGCCCAGCACCCGGTAAGACCGTCAGCACTCTTTGGAGTTGCAGGAGTTGCAGTAGCAGTCGGAGTAGAAGGCGGAAGCTGACTATCGGCTCGCTTCTGGTTTGGACAGGGCGCGAGCAATCCCGAATCACGGCTCGTTCGATAGCGACAGCCATGCTGAGCTCCAAGGCATCCTCCTCCAGCACGGCGCAACCAGCGCAGACGCAAGGGCGCTCTTCCCAGGTAGAGTAAACACGGCACTGCTAAAAAAAAAAAAATAAGCCACAACAATCGCTTGTTGGCTTCTGCGCCGGCCAGCCAATGGAGGTGGGGGTGGGTGGGGTGGGGACCTCTCGTATCCAAGTGTGGATATACACGCAGTCGACCTGCTGCTCCAGCGACGGCGGCGATCCCGAAGCGAGAGTGCTGTTTGGGCTGTTGTTCACAAAAAAAAAAAAAAAAAAAAAAAAAAAAGCGGGTTTGTCTTGGTGGAACATATCGACTCGTACGATTTCCTCATCTCGCTCGAGTGAACTTTTGTATCGAACTCGGGGTTTTACGATTGTTTTTTTTTGGTGTTTTTTATTTTATTTTTTATTTTTTATTTTTTTGGAAACGTGGGTCGATGACGTGTATTCGAACCGATCACGAGGTTGGAGCATCGACTCCCCGACACGGAATGCAGACGACTGCAATGGGAGAGACAGCGATGAACTGGGTTGGAGCGGCGGACGGGCGGGCGGCGGCAGTGGAGCAGAGTGGTGCGCATCATGAAGAAAGGATTAAAATGCCGCTAAGAAAGATGGGAGCAAACCCCCCCACCTCTCAACTCAACAAGGGCAGCTTGGGTCATGATGAAGAAGTGAGATCGATGATTCGTTGTGATTTGAGGGAGAGGGAGAGGGATGGGGAGAGGGAGGGATGGGGAACAGACGAAACAAAGCTGGATGAATCATCCATTGGCACATCGTTCATCGTTCATCTTCCCGCTCGATGCTCATCCTCGCCTCGTGTTCGGACTGCTCCAAAGTTGTGCAATGACTTCCGCACACAAGCTCTACGTGATGATCCTTGGTCTCGGCTCTCGTACTCACTGTGTTTATCGTTTTTTTTTTTTTTTGGTCTCGGTTTTACATTTCTTGTTCTCGTCAGCCTCGCCCCCGACTCGAGCGGCCAATCCAATGGCCATGAACGACCCGTTCTTTATGCCACACCACCAGCCGGGCGTTGAGTTGGGCCTGCTGAGCCCATCGCCGCCTCCAACCGCGCTGGCCGCGTCGTCCATTCGCGCCATGGCCAACTCGCCGACCAAGGGCTTTCCGCTGCACCAGACCCCTCCGCTGCAGTACCGCCACAACAATCAGCACGACGAGGGCTTTTTCGTCGGCAGCCCGTCGCAGCAGTCGATGATTTACTCTGTCAACGGCCACTCGCACCACCACCACCACACGGGCGGCGTGGACAACCTCGTGTACGCCAACACTTCCTTTTCCGGGTCGCACCCATTCTCTGGCGTCGGGAGCCATCCAGGCAGCTCTGGCTTGAGCTTGACCATCCCTCCCACCGCGCTCGGCATGGCATCCTCTGGCAACGGCTCGGGCACGGCAAGCCCCAACCCTTCCAGCCCGCTGTCTCCGCGCTCGTACTCTCGCGCACGCTTTGGTCGCAAGGTGGTTGCTCAGCAGGCTCCTCCGCCGTCCTCGACCAACCGCGCTCAAGGCCGCAAGAAGGCCCACAGCTTTGGGGACGAGCCACTTCCCAGCCTGTAGAGAGAAACTTACTTTTTTTGTTTTCTCATTGGATTTTACCCAACATCTTTTACTCCCCCCCCCACAGTACTTTAATCGTTGTGATCGATTTTTTGCGATTTTCTTCTTCTTCTTCTTCTTCTGTTTTCTTCTTTTCTTCCTGTACAACTGTTCTCGTCGTATTTTTGGGTTGGTGGGACGGTCTCTCGCTGGCGTGAGACTGCTTCCTTGCAAAACCAATTCTTCACCTTTACGTGAAGCTTGCCCTTCCCTCCCCAGTCACCATTAGTTGCCTTTTTCTCCTTCTTTTGCTGCTGCTGCTACTACTACTCTTACTACTACTTCTTCTTTGTTTTATATTTGCTCCCCCTGCTGTTCCGCTTGCTTGCTTCACCCCTTTGCCATCGATTTAAGATCTGCATGCAATGCAATGTTGATGATTTTTCTATGTGTGTTTGTTGTTGCCTTCTTCTTCCGTGGTCCCTCCCTCATGTGTAGTCGCTGTTCCTTGTATTTCACGTGTAGATACATATAAAAACAAAAGGTTTTCTCATCTCGTCCCTTTTGCTTTCTTGCTTGGGCTCAGTCGTTCATGCAACAGCAGAGTCGAACGACCGTTGCTGCGGCTGGTCACAATCTGTTCGCCGGCGCGGCAAGGTAGATCTTCGGGTTTTTTTAATTTATTGATCTCATTGTTTTGACGTGATTACCATTTTTGTTTGGGTTTCTGAGCAACTTTGTTTTCTCACACTCTGTTTGCGTGCGTTGGTGGCACAGCGGCTTTGCCTCGTCCGTCCTGCTTCAGCCACTCGATGTCGTCAAGACGCACATCCAGTTCACAGCTCAGTCCGATCACAGGTCTGTTTGGTCTGTGTGTGTGTGTCGTGGTTGAGTGGTGCTGACGTTGCGTGCGCTGATGACCACGCTGGACCCTGACTCTGACCCCTGAACCCTGCGCTGATCCAATGTCGAAATCGGTGCAGAATCGTGACTGCGTTCCGCCATATTGTTGCGCGCGACGGGATGGTCGGCTTGTGGCGTGGGACTGTTCCAACGCTCTACCGCACTGTGCCTGGCGTTGCACTCTACTTTCACTCGCTGAGCATCGCCAAGCATGCGCTGAGCAAGGCACCAGACCCAACCACAGGAAAAGTATGGCGAAAATTCACAGTCAAGTGTGATATCAGCATGATTTTCGATTTTGGATTTGATACAGTATTGTGCGTCCGAAGTGAAAACTGCAAAATGAGTTTGGAAATAGAAACGGACGATTTGGTTTTTAAACATATGAAATGGTACAAATTTGTAGTGCGATTTTGGACAAAATGCTATCGATTTGGTTTTTAAAAACACGAAACTGTCCAAACTGCGCCCGAGTTGGTTTTTGCCAAGATAAGGTCTGGTTTTTTGGCGCGAACAATTTGGAATAACAGCTTGAAACTGAAAATTCGCACTCTTGGTTGGGAAATTGCCACTTCATGTTTGGGATTTGCAAACACCCCCAGACGAACCTGCTCTGTAGCCATGCCCAAACGTCAAAACGAGGCGCAGGCCACCGAATCACGCGCGCCGCGGAAGTGTGTCCATCTAGAAGACCCCGAACGGAAGCGGATCATCGACTTGGCTGTTGATCGCGCCTTGCCTCTCGTCACGGTCGCCAGCATGCTCCATCACCCCATCAGCACTGTGTCCAACGTAGTGCAACGTTTCAAGGAGCGCGGAGAGTGGACGTCACATCACGTCAATCCCAAGGGATGCCGTGTGCTCACAGCGGAGCATCTCCATTTTCTCGAGATGGAGCTCGACAAGAACGTCAATGTGACCAATCAAGAGCTCCAGGACCTCCTCCTGACGACATTTGGCATTCAAGTGCATCAAGCAACCATCGGGCGTGCCATGTTACGACAGGGCTTCACGTTCAAGCGCGTGTATGAGCAGGTCAAGGTGAAAAATTCGCCTGAAATCAAAGCCCAACGCAAGAAATGGGCTGAGCTCTTCGAGGCTTTCCAGACACCTGTGGATCGCTTGTTCTACGTGGGCGAGAGTGGATTTAATGCGAATCAGCATCGAACGCGAGGTCGATCTCGCAAGGGCGCGCGCGCAATCGTTCAAGTTGGCAGTATTCGTGCAGCGAATTTCACGCTCATTGCAGCGATCGGAATGAGCGGCGTTGTGTTGAATGAGATCCAGCTCGGAGGCGTGACTGGCCATGTCTTTGCGGAGGCGATGACGAAGCTGTTTGACAAGCTCGAGGCAAAAAACGCCGTCGACACCGCCGCGTCTGGCATCGCTGTGGATGAGCTCCCAGTGCAGCAGCTTGAGCCCGACCTCCCCCTTACAAACGTGATTGAGGACAGTGTGTCGATCAGTAATGCAGTTCACATGCCACTGCTGACGTCCGGTGCAGCGTCGTCCCAACCACCTGCCCCTCCCGCTGCAGTTGTGTCGTCTGCTGCGTCTGCAGCTGGCGGGTCAGCTCCTGCTTCCACCTCTGCTTCCTCTGCATCCACCTCTGCTTCCACCTCTGCTTCGACGACCAGAAAGAAGCGCCGTTCTCGTCGCAGGATTCTCGACGATGATGACAACGATGATGGCGGCGTCTACGTTCCACCACACGAAGAACTCATTCAAGACGAGATTGATGAGCACAATGACAATACTTCCTATTTCGTACCGAGCGAAGAGCACCCAGGTGTCAGCTTTCCGGGACATCATCGCTACAAAGCCTGGATCGTGCTCGACAACGCGCGCATTCACAAGACTCCCGAAGTGCGCGAGCTTTTTGCACGCCGCGGGTATGGGA